GGGGGTTTGGATTTTGGGAAGCAATGTAGATGTTATGTGACGGTGTTGTGTACAACGACGATGCGTGATATGTAAATGAATGAGTGCGCTGAAGAAATGAGATAATGGTTCAATTGTGAATGTTATTGTGAGGGGTGTATATAATGATGTGTTGTAGTAAAACCACGAGCTTACAGCGTCTACGCTGAGCCCGTAATCTTCCCGTTTATCAGGTCGTCTTCAGATTTCGTCCCTGGTTCCACGCCAAATACAACTTACCGAGGCGTCCTCCCGAAATGAAATGTCATTCGAAATTTTCCGATGGAAACTCTTCGTCCTCCCGAAATTCTGTTGCAATACTTGATTTATTTTCATTGTTTATGAGAACTATTGTTTAACAATAACCATAAAAACCATTGTTGGAATGATAACGTTTAATTATTAAATTCTGTTAGGTACTGTATGTACAAAATTTTCATTCACAATATGTAACAATATAACAGTTTTAAACATTATAAAAGAGCTTCTTGTTTTGATAATTGCTGAAACTAATATCTTAAATACTATAGTAGAGTTAAAGGCGATAATATAATAATAGCAGAGTGGCGTGACTTCCGATGGCGCCCGAAAATAGGTTGATTTCGGGGGGTTATATTTCATCAAGGGCCGCTTATAGAGGTGTGGTTCCTTTGAATTTCTTTCTTCTGCGGATATAGTCCTCAGGTACAGTACAGTATGTTAAGGTACCGAGTGTCATTCGCATCTGCAATTGTACCTAAAAAACATAAATATTTATCGTGATTTTATGGTAATATTTTAGTAAATAAAGCATTGGAATGCTGTTTTATATATTATGTTAAACGAACGAAATCGTAAAATTTAAAATAGACCGGATGTAGGTCGCATTTCCTCCGAATTCTTCGGTACAGGCTCGAAATTTGGCGAAAATGTTCAAAATCTCCCGAAGTTTTTTCATTTTTGGAATGGAAAACTCCCGAATTTTTGAGAGTTGGCAAGCTTAGCCCAATACTAGTCACCATTTTTGTCTATTATACCAGCCCGATCTTCAACGGGCGATGCGTGAAGTCGCGTGTTTATAGAAAAAAGTGAGAATTCGACGAGGAACTCTACAATAATGGTATGAGAGATAGAAAACAAAATGTCCACTCTAACCGACCAAAGATAAGTGCAATCTTAAGGAAATAAAATGATTAATTAAATGGCAAGAATTACCCAAAATGTAGATTTTTCTATATCTTCGTCTTACCAAAAGACCACTGGCGAGAACCTTTTATTCGAGATTCGTTGCATGTTTCAGCAATTTTGTCCTCATCATAAATATTGAAACGTGTAACGAATCTCGAATAAAAAGTCCCAAGGCAGAAATATAGAAAAATCGACATTTTGGGGTAATCCTCGCCGTTTAATTAATCGAAAATTCCTCGATCGTTTAGAACGGGATTGTCCAAACTTCGTCATAATAGGAGCCACACGCTGCCTGTGGGAAATATACGAGAGCCAAATCCTCTATTGAAATGCCTATTAGAGAGTCGCATCTTTGGTTTATAGTATTTTAACTATATATAATTATCACCGTTACTTTGTTTACTTTATGATGACAAGGTAATCATTTATTAGGTAATACACACACAAATTGTGTATGGAAGCCGCAATAAGAAGAGTCATGCGCCTCACCAGCCATAGTTTGACCACCACTGGTTTAGAAAGTAGGTTATTTTTACTCCTGGTTAGGCCGGGATAGGAGTGGGTCCCCTTTGCATTTTTTTAAACAAACGAAATACGTAGAATGTTTCTTTATTTGTACTCTTAAAGATTTTATTTTTGGTACTAAAAATAACATTAATTTATAGGTGTAAGAGTACGATCCCCCGAGTTTTCTGCGAATCCGGAAGAAAATTCCCAGTTCTCTCTCCAGGGCCCGAAGTCTAGGAACACGTGATTTATAGTTGGTCCCTCCTCGATGTTTTTAATTATAAGTTATATAACATAATTACGTGTACGTATTTAAATACAAGTACTGTATATACTTTTGCCTAAGATAAGGCAACAATAAATAAATTTATTGCCTTAACAATTCGTTTTCTTGTTATATTTATCTAATAGTACCTTTCTTTAGAATTTTAATGCTTTATTACGCTTCTGCCTCGTTAATAATTGGACCTGCTATTTCATTAATAAATCAGGCTCTTCTAAATAAAGAATGGGCGGTACCTCGGTCACGTGTAGATACAATAGATTAATCGACATCTGCTCGAAGGAAAAAAGAAACAGTGGCCATTATCGTCTCAACCGTAGTCACCCGCCAATGTATTTTTATATGTGTTTTGTTGGTACACGCTTGCTCTCGGCGGGATTATTTATTATTATTTTGACCGATTTTCTAGGGAATTAAAAATTTCAAAAAGGAAATTCTTTGAAACGAATTACAATCCTCTACTTGTTTAATTTTTTTGTATTCTTCGATCCGAGTTCAAATGAACTTGTGTCGGTTACATTACGGTATTTTATAATTAAGGGATTTCCTTATTTTCCTTTGTGCCGATGACATTTTTTACGGCGTAACACGTTTTTCCTCCCGTTTTCTAAAGGGCATCAAGCTATAAATATATTCAAGGTCTTTTTCCCTAAGGGAATTTTTCCTCCCCCTCAATATATTTTACTATTCCAATCGATTTTCTACCACCTTTTATTACGTCTTTATAACTTGGGAATAATTATATAATTTAAGAAAAATAAAATTATAATTTGTTCCGTTTTTATTTAGAAAACATTTAAATATATTCAATAAGAGAAACAGGAAAAATATTTTTATGTCCCGATTTAGAAACGAGTTCTTTATTTTATTTTACCAGACGAATAATGTCTTATTTAATAAGTTTTTTCGCCTTATTTTCTATTATTTGATCTATTTTCTTTAAATAATAACAATGGCGTATTTATCTTGGCGTGTTTTAAAATAAATCCTTAAAAACGAGAGACGATTAATAAGACGTTACGGAGATTCTTGCACCCAGAAAACGTCGATTATTTAAATTTTACGTTGATTTATTTTAATACGAGATCAATGATCCTCGGAGCGAGTGTTCGATCTCCGCAGATAAGAGCTTACTTGCTAATTCAGTTTATTTTTTGACTGTTGCAGCTAAGATTTCTAAGTCATTCGGAATCATCGTAACAAGAATATCATCCTTTTCCATCATCTTCGGCATCTTCCTTCCTTCTCCATCTTCCTCACATCCGAGGAACCATTAATGTCCATGGATTACATTGAAGAGAAATTTAAGGATTTAAATTGATTCCCTTTTCTTCCCTTCCCTTCGATATACTCTTAAAAACAAAGGAGAAGAATTTTATGTCATTTATTTGTTCGGACACGTGGAATGCAAGTAAGAAATCCCCATTAAAAGGAAAACGAAAGTTAAAAAAAAAAAAAAAAAAACATTATTAGTTACAGGAAAATTTCGAATGTAATTACAACTTCGCAAATAAAGTTTTAATGGCCCGATTATGCCGCGCGTAAATTACATTTCATATTACAAATAACGATTTAGTTACGTACAAGGCGAAATCTTCATTATAATTGTTTATAAATCCCGAAATACGAATGTAATTACTTAATTATTCCGTAGAAATTCCAGGAAAATTTGTAAGGATAATTTAAAAAAGAAGCGTTATAGACGGGACTAATAACGGGCCATTCCCCTCTATCAAATAACGATAGGTGTAAAAAAAAAAAAATGTAGGCCTTAGATTATACACGCAATAAACTTCAATTGCTTACGCTGCCAAAATTAATTATAAAGAGCATTTTTTAATTAATTCACCGTATAGTCAACGCCGTAAATTTTAGAACGTATTAAATATATTTAATTGTAATTAAGAGTAAAAATTGTATTTAGTAACGTATATCCTTATTACTTTTTTTTTATTTTTGAATAAATAACTCTGAATGACTTAGAAACGAAACGTTTTTAATGGCGAATCGTCGCTTCCAAACTGGTTTTTTTTTAAGCTTGGTTAAAATTCTATTTTTACCGTCTTTATTTAATAATTAAATTTAATTGTAGTATTCCGTCATGCTTATTTCTTTCGGACGTTAAAGTTCCGCCATTCCTAATTGCCCATTCGCCATATGTTAACGAAGTTTTAACGGGACATCTTCCACCCTCATTCGCCTTAGAACATTTTGGGCTTTTAAAATGAATTATAACTAATAAAACGATTGTTATTTTCGCGATAATAAAGAAAAATACGATTATGTCGGTAAACGGGACCGAATTAATACAGGTTTTTCAAATTACACACTAAAAAAAACAACTGTAACGGTGATCTTAATATCGGCTTGTGATATAATGAATCTTTCGTAATGTCGAGGGTAAAAAAATTTAATAGATTATCCGGATTTTATAGTTTTAAGTTCAATTAATTAACGAGAAGAATACATATATTCGAGTTCATTTTTTAAAATGTATTTTAAACCTCCATAAAAGGGACATTTACTTATGTAAAGTAGGCCTAGTATTCATTTCACATAGAAAATTAGGCCCCATATTATTATTATTTTTTTTAAACTAGAGAAGAAAAATTTAGGAAAATAGTCTAAGAAATATGTTGTAATATCCAGTTGTTGTATTCATTTACATTTATCAGTCTAATAACATTACAATATTATTATTGTTAAATTTTTTTTTTGGTCATACTCCTTTGTAATAATGTCGGATTTCTCAATCCTAAATTTTACGTAACTTCGAGAAAAATTCTTTAAAATAATTAGTGATAACGACGCGGAAATGATTTTATATTTAAATTATTTATATCTAGAACACGAATTTTACGGGGAAAGTTTACAAAATCCGCACATAAGATGCAAATTTTTTTTCGGAAGTGATCCATCCTCACCCCACCCCAACGACCGTGAATAAAATGTAAAATAATTAGCGATACTTCGCGAAAATTATTATTATAAGTTCGAATGATTCGCGTTTTAAACGCCAATCTGGCGGATCAAAGCCACAAATGCCCATCCTCGATTCTTTCGGTGGTATTCCACCATCCGGAATCTTCCGCATCTTCGTCTCAGTCGACGATGATTTTGCAAATAATTTAAAAATAATTGAACACGACGAGACGGAAATCGTTTCTAATTTAATTATTTTTGTCCGAAGAGGGAATTTGGCGGATAAATCCTCATCCGTCACGCAAGTTTTCCGAAGGTATGGGCTGAGAGAACGGCGGTGGATTATGGCCATCCTCGAGAGAAGATTATTTCTTCACGCGTAAACAACGAAATTTTGCCATACTTTTTTTTTTAATTTAAAACTCAATTAGAATGTTTGTTTGTTTTTTTATTGTGGATTTTTTTTTTTGGATCTTCTAATCATTCGGGGAAAGCCTAATTTCTCGGATTCGCTAAACGAATAACGCGAATTAACGCCGACCTACATTCGGTCGTTTTCCCGCTCGACGGAGAAAGGGAAAAATGGGACATCATCGTAGCCTAGTTTAAGAGTAAAATGTCAACGCCTGGTGGAAGCCGCTGCCAATTTCGTTAGTCGCCAAGTAACTGCTTTCCACTAAACTCTACGCTGGGCGCCATGCGGTTCCTCTGCTTTCTTCTAGCGGCCGCTCTTCTGGTTACCACCCATTCAGGTACGTCCAAACAAAAGAAAAAAAAAAAACACTTAAGGTACGCTTAACTGAGCGTACCTCTTTCCAATTCGTAATTAAAGCGCCCGTTTCCCCCTCGGCATTCTCTTATATCGACGTTTCTTAAAAACTTTAGTGGTCTTTCGCACAGTTCTACTCTGGGGGTGCTTGGCGTAGGTTAAAATAACCATAATTAAGTTAGATTTTTGGAATGTTTGAGGCTCGGGTACCGGGTCTTTGATAGTTTCTGTCCTCGAATTTTAATGTCGTTTTCTGTCTTAATACGTTTTAGAACTTTATTGGGAATTGGGAAATATTTTTGAAAACTTTCAAAGTAGATTTATTCCTCTTTTTCCGAAGAATCTATTTATATATAAGAAGATATTTTTAATAAAACAATTTAAATTCTATTTTTATTTCTATTACTTAATGTACGACTGTAGTTGCCGTCTTTATGGTTTTATATACGGTATTTAAATATATGTAAAACAATAGATTAAAATTATGTTATACGTCAAAAGTTCGCGTAATTAGATACATGATAATGTTGGAGATGTGTAGTAACTATTAATTTATCTTTCTGCGGTATTCGTTTCGAATTAATAGCGTAGAAAACGAAATTTACGTTGTGGCCCAGAGTCTAAAATGGCCTCCCGGGCATAAATTTGTGCTATTTTTAATTGTTATCTTTGCATCGCGTAATCTTCGAAAAGACTTGCTTTTTTTACCTTAAATTTATTAATTAATTAACATATTTTACGAATAGTTATAATGGAATTTCTTTTTTTTTTAGACTCGAGGGCTTCTTCTCGATCCGCTAAAGACGAAAAGCAGTTGAATTTGGCAAACACCCTTCATCACGTTTTACGAGAGAAGTTGGAAGAAGTGCGCGAGATAATACTTCACGGCCATTCGGGAACGGATATCCCGCCGCTGGACCCTTTCTTAATCGATTCTATGTCCTTCGTGGTTCGAGAGTCCACGGGTTTTGTCAACGTAACCCTAGAAAAGACAGTGGTGACGGGTCTGGGCGACTTCAGGATCAAAGACGTGGCCAGCAACTTCGNTTTTTTTTTTAGACTCGAGGGCTTCTTCTCGATCCGCTAAAGACGAAAAGCAGTTGAATTTGGCAAACACCCTTCATCACGTTTTACGAGAGAAGTTGGAAGAAGTGCGCGAGATAATACTTCACGGCCATTCGGGAACGGATATCCCGCCGCTGGACCCTTTCTTAATCGATTCTATGTCCTTCGTGGTTCGAGAGTCCACGGGTTTTGTCAACGTAACCCTAGAAAAGACGGTGGTGACGGGTCTGGGCGACTTCAGGATCAAAGACGTGGCCAGCAACTTCGACAGCATGAGGACCAGCGTGTCCATGAACTGCCCGGAGATAAAAATACTTTCCAGTTACAGAATAAAAGGTTATCTCCATCCTCCCCTCTCCCAGTCCATCGGCGACGTGGGAAGGTTCGAAGCGGTCCTGAAAAACTTCGACACCAGTTGGTCGGCTAAAGTCAAATTTGGGAAGAGGGAAGACGACATTGTCCTGGTTCAGACGTCGCTTACCAGTTTTTACGATCGCGCCGTCAAGAAATTCCGAAATTTGGCCAAGAAACCCCTGCTGACCAAAGCGGAGGATCTGTTAGGGGAAGTGGGCGATTCCATAATCGAAAGGATACAAAATTACATCGAAGATAACCTCTACAGATCCGTGCAGCAAATTATAAACAAAGGAGCTAGCACCTCGTTCGGAGAGCTGATCGACGAAGTTCAGACGCAAAGTTCCGGTAGGGTCAAGAGGCAGGTGCCCTGCGAAAACGGCCAAGACCTGGACGAATACGTGGATACCCTGCTGAGATTCGGCAGGAGGTTGATCAGATTGATGGAGCCCTTCCGTTTCCCCAACACGTCGGTCAAAGTGGAAGACTTTCAGATCTTGATCTTCCTGTACAATGGCGGAGTGAGGGGCATATCCACGGTGGAACGTCGAAAATCCGCCTACGTTATGTGCAAAAACGAATCTATAACGCTGGGCATCGTGCTGGGATTCGAGCAATTAAAAGTGCAAGCCCGTTACAGGGTGATGAAGGACTACAGGACGCTTCTGTTCAACGGTGACGCCGACATTCGGGTGACGGGCACCGAGGCCCTGGTACAGATAACGCAGATGATGAACGGCGTGGCCCGGCAAAATTTGGACAAACTCAAGATCAGGCGATTGGGCGAAATCCGAGTGCTTCTCAGAGGGTTGGGTAATTTAACTTCCGCACTATCCATGCTTTTAACGCAACAATTAAACGAAGATCCCCAGTCAATTATCAACGTGGCCGAAGCTCAGGTGGCTTCCATGATAAGGCAACAATTGACCAACGTCACCATACCAATTTTCTCCATTGTTTAAAGTATTCTTCCGGTAAGGATCGAAAATCTCGCGTTTTAAGGCATTATACAACGAATAAATGTGTATAAATATATCTTTCGTAATATCGAATAAAAATTATATATAAATATATTTTAATTTCGTACGAACGAGATGGTTTCGTCGGTAATTTATTATAAAGAAATCGAAGAGAAATCTACGGAAACCTCGATTTAACAATTCTCGCTTTATTTCGACGCGATAAAAGAATGTCGTAAATCTAGTAACACCAGATTTAGAAATGTTATCGACATCGTAATCTTCTATAAGAGGTTAGTGACCGTTTATAAGAGTGGGTCAACCCCAGAGCGATGTACTTTCCTCGATAAAGTAAAAAAGAAATTACGATCTAGGTCGTATTTTCCATTATTTCTTAACAAGTTTAATGTCGTGTATTATTTGTACGTGCGACGTATTCGTTAAAAAAAAAATTAAAATTTAGTGGGCATTTAGTATCGTTTATAATCACTAGATGGCACCTCTAGGCGTAGGATTTTTTACGAATATATAAAGTTAATTCTTCGTACGGATCCAGTACTGTACGAAGACGATCTTCGTAGAAGTCCTTATAAAATACATACTAGGCTTATATGTAAAGAGTCCTTCTTAGAAGTTTACACGAAAGAATTGTTCTTAAATTCTATAAAAGAATCTCCTTAATTAAATAATACTGTAAAGAGGGATGCTCAACTGCCCGGTAAACACTAGAGGCGTGCACCAAGAGACCCTAAGTGCCCGGAAATTGGAAAAAACTAAATAAATTTGACCATTGCAATTGTCTATCAAATTTATAAATAATTTATAGATGCAATTATACGTAATTTTACATCGTCGTAAAATAACGTAGAAGGACCCCGATCTTCCGTGCCCGGAATTACATATAAATTTCCATTGTCTTCAAATTTTTTTTTTTAAATTGCAGTCCAATTAATATTTAATTTAAATGTAAAAATGTTAGAAAATTTAGTAAAGTTTTTATAGAAGTATATTTTACTCCGGTTTACATCGTGGGGAAAAAAATCGAAATAACCGTAAGAACAAAGCCGTAAATCGATAATTAAACGGCCATTCCGGACAAAACTTTGAAAGATTTAACTGGAGGACAAATTCCACTTGAAAAAAACAGGAATTTCGGTATGTAAAAAATTGTATTTCGCTAGTAAAACGTGTTAAATGTTCAAGTGTTACGTAAACGTCGCTTACGAAAGGCGACGGCGAGTAATTAGTGCGTAGGTAACCAATTAGTATCGATCGGGAAATCGATAGCTGGTGGCATTTTTGCGACGATCCGGCAAGAGAGAATGTCGTCCCCTTAAAAGAAACGACGATGTACAGTAAACTAAACGAAAATAACCATCAAACAGACTGCAACAGACATTTCTGTACGTGTTTACAATGCAGTTTACAACCGACTTTTATGGTGGCTCAGATATTTGGAATCGTCAACCGCGTCAGATGCCACTACAAGAACTCGTCCTACTTTCCCTTGTTGAAATTCCATTTGTTTTACAGAAATTTCGTAAGAGTTATCATTTTGTCTCCCGTTTGTTCGTACGTTTTCAAATTTTTCACCTCGAAAAATTTCTGCTACGAGGAGAAATACACGGGAAAGATATTCGTAGTCAGATCGACGGCCATTCTCAGTTGCTGCTTCGTGTGCATTATTCACAACATTCTGACCACTTCTAGAGTCGAGAAGATTCTCCAGAAGCTCTCTAAGGCACTGGAGAATAGTCCAAAGAATCATTTAATCGTAGACCATTTCTGGAAGGTGATCGATAATCAGTTCTCCACCATCAAAGGGATGACAGCGGTAATGAGCCTCCTTCTACCCGCCACCACGGGTGTCTTCGTGGTGAAAGAATATTCGACGTCGTCTACGTCGATGGAAGACGTCTTCTGCTCCGTGTACTTTAACGTATTGTTCATTTATTACGTTAATATATTCGTCATCGCCCTCCTCGCCACCTTCGTTGTATACAGAAGAATCATGTGGAAGCTCTCGAAATTCAGGCAACTAATACAAGATTGGGCTCGCAACGGTCGCTCTGTAACAGACATGAATCTCAACCAAACTTACTTGGGAATCTCCGCTATCTTGAAGGCCACCGAAAAATTTGCCAGTTTGATCATATTTTTAATCATGAGTACCGTCATCGCCATCCAAGTCATCGTCATTTATACTTTGTTCAGTAGTTTCAAACACAACCCTCAACTCAATTTGGTTCTCAAGACTTTCCTAAGTTCTGCTCTCGTCTTCATATTCCTGGTCATGTTTTCTTGGTCTAAAGTCACTACCGAGGTAGGTTCTATTTTTTTAAGCTTTCTACGTGACTTTTAGTGTCTTTCATTTTTTTTTACTTTAACAGGTAAGGAAATCTTATAGTCAGATATATCTGTTGTACTACAAAGCCGTGGATCTGAAAGAGGAAATGATGGCGAGTACCGATTCAAAGTTGTAATTTTCTATCTAAACTTTCGTGTGTTTATTATTCATTAAATTCGATTTTTAGGTATTTAGTGTTTTGCAACAGATGGGAAGAACAAAATTTGGCATATCGTTCTTTGGCTTATTCGTTCTATCCAAAGGGACGGTACTCAAAGTGAGTATGGAAAAATTTTCGTATTAATAAACTTAAGCAAATTTTTACTTATAGAGAGTATCGAGGGATGACGGGGCGAAACTACCGGGGAATTTCGAGTCGACACGACAGAGTAACTCCCGGATTAAAGTTAATACGTTGTCTTTCGTGTCTAGTCGTAAAGGCCGAATTCCTTTCGCAGATACGAACGGCTTCCGACACGACGCGTTTAATACGGCACTATTCGTTTTCTATTCATCCGTCGGACATCGTCGTTCTATTAACACTGAGAAATGATAGGGGATATCATTTCTCAAGTTTTTAGGACTTCCCGCCCGGCGCGGGAGGTACGGCAACTACTCCCAAACTTCCAAAAATTGTCCCGCTCTCATTAGCGTAACCTAAGCGACTCCTAAAATTTAGCGTTGGGGTTGTATTGGTAAGTTTTCAGAGAGACCACTAAAGGATTTGCGTAATTTCGTACGGAAACATTCCTTCCCGCCGGCTCTTTCTACCCGTTAACGAATCTAAGAACTATTTGGATCCAAAATGTCGATCCGTATGCATCGAGATGCAAGAGATTTACGATTCGAGAACTCGACCATTCTATATTATGGATTTCTAGAACGTATTTCCCACCTTATTAATGCATTGAAACTACTAACCGCAGATACTATTAAAAAATAAAATTTTTAGTCCGTAGTTTAGGATTTAAAGTGGAAAGGTCGAAAGAATAATGCGGTGTGGATAAATTTAAATAAACAAACTTTCGACCATTTTTATAAGTAAAAAAATTGTCTGAAATTTCGAAGAAAATAAGAAATTGTCGTCGGCCAGAAAGTTTTTTCCGTCATTTCTTCAGATAACGAGGCAAGAACCTATCGGGAACTAACGATCCATTGTTTTAAATGAGAGAATTTCGGTACATTTCCAGCGTCCGGGAATTTCGTTTCCCTTAAATACTTTGGGAGGAAAAAAGGGGCGGTGAAGTGAGGAATTTTAATTAACCCATTCTCCGGGAAATTCCGTGAGACGTCGACCAGCGAAAATAAAAACGGGGATCGAGAAGGTGGGCGCAGAAATTTCCAGGCCAAAAGCAGGTTTAATCCGTCGATGGGAATGGATAAAAATTTAAAAATTAATACAGTCGACCCCCTATAACACTGTTGATTATTCTGTTTTATATGAATTCCATGTTGTACGAGTCACTTAGATTTTATAAATATGTGTGCTGGGCTGTGAATGGCTCATGTATTTGTAAAATCTAAGTGACTCGTACAACATGGAATTCATATAAAACAGAATAATCAACAGTGTTATAGGGGGTCGACTGTATCCGGTTTTCCAAAATCAACGTTCCGACATTAGAAGTTTCGTCGGTTCCGAAAATCCTAAATTTAGAAAAACGGACGAATGCATTTTTTAAAATTCGGACAGAATTTTCGGCGGAGGCCACGGGAAATTTTCTAATCTAGAATTTCGACCGCCCACTTTAGCGTGGTTCCGGTCACCAGAAACTAAAATGTCCGTCCGAGCAAACGGAGAAATCTTTCGCGTTTATCTTTCGGTTCGCGGCCGAAATACGACTAATGAATTGGCGAGTTGCTTTTTGTTCTTGGTGCTCAGTATCATATTGTAACAAGTTTTGGCTCCAGAGGACTTATCACACAACACAGTATTGATGTCGGAGTAATCATAAGAAATTAAGTAGACAGGTTTATTATGACGAAAATATGCATTTCAGACAGGTTGTCTGTCCCTCTTCGGCCGTATTTGTTACAATTTGGTGGATATATATGTGTCTACAAAAATACAAGCGGTTTCTCGTTACAAACATTTGGGTTTGGGATTAAAATAGTACAAAATTACATTTTTATACATACATAAAAGAAACATTCTATTTTGTTGCAGAATGACTTCATTTTCGGGGATTTTTCACGCGTTATACTGTATTGTTTTCTGTACAAATAGCAATCGGAGATTATATAATTGCTGCTAATGAAATTAATTGTGAAGTAAATACTATAGTAAACAAACGTAATACAAAGTTATAAACCAGATTAGTTACAAAAAATATTGTTTTAAGGTTACATACGTTTTAGCAGACAGATCGTACAATATTCCTTTTATGTATGTATAAAAATGTAATTTTGAACCATTTTAATCCCGAACCCAAATGTTTGTAACGAGAAACCGCTTGTATTTTTGTAGACGCCTGTAAATATATCCATCAAAAAGTAACAAATACGGCCGAAGAAGAGTCCGAAATGTATACCGTCATTATAATAAACCTGTGTCCCGAGTCCTGCAGAGCCAAAACTTAATGCTCGTAGTTTGATATTTCACACGACTAATAAACCTTTTGTGGTTCGATTCAGGTTCTGGGCGCCACCACCACGCAGCTGTTGGTCATCATGCAGTTGGTCGAATGAACCGGGCGGCAGAAAAGAGAAAGGAAGGCCCGAGGAAAATACATACGATTCTGTTTATCTCTACATTCGATTTACCGGACGTCTACCGAAAATTGTAAGAAAGTGGTCGGGATGCCGGTTGGAGATTTGGGGACCTATTCTGAGTAGTATCGTTAAGCTAACGAATACAATAAAAACCAGTTTTTATCGGAACCACGTGATTCGCGTTTAATCAACCGTGAAAATGCTATTCCGAGCCGTACGTTTCGTTTTCGAGCCACGTGCAATAACTAAGCTTTTGTTATCGGTCATTCTCAACCTGCCGTTAGGAATGTAACGAAAGTGAAAACAGCGTGGCATCCTTTGATGTAAGAATGATTTTACTTCACGAGCAATTGGAGAGAGAGTTAATAAACTATGTTTTTGTATTGCTTAAAAATAATTACCTTAACTATTTAGGAATATTGTATGAATAATGTAATTGCTTTATTGTTAAAATTTAAAGTAAGTAGCTATATCATGAACATTATTTCTGAAATAGGTTTCATTCGCATATGTATAAATTAAAATGATAGTCATATATTTATATTCTAAGCTCTCAGTTACTTTTCGCCATCTTTCTGGGTCTTTTTGTGAACGGACTCCATCGGCTATTTCTTGCTACAATTTCTGGCGATCTTTTACGGTAAAGAAAGCGTCTAACTTCCCTAACATTAGAGTTGTCTTCTATAAAATTAACGAGCATCTCGAATTGGCGACTTGTAGTTCGCTGGCTTCGTTGGCCTTTCTTCGACATTTTAAAACAAAACTATTTCATTAGCGCTGGTACGCGACAATGCTAAAACCACGTGCTTCGCTTAGAAAATAGCGGGTTGCAGTCACGTGACAAAAATACAATGCTAACTAAACTGTGATTGGTTAAAGCCTAACAGCTATCGATAGCGTGGAACCCAGACGCATCTCGACCGACTACCCGTAGCCAAACCCACTTAACGTGAAGCACAGAATAGCGATTTGTCTAAGGTTCGTTAACTGCCTTTCGCTAAGAGGACTTATCGAATGTTCCGTGTGTCGCTCTCGTTGAGTTATCGGAAGAGTTCAGAATAGGTCCCCGGGTCCACCAACTTTTAATCCATCCGAAATTTAACTGATGGGTAGGATTTATTTTCTAACGGGGGCGGAAAGAGGTCGGCGGGAGGTGGAATCCAGTCCATTATCCGGCCCCGGTAACCCTTACTAAATGTAAGTCCCCGGGCGGATTTTCTTCACTACGATCTTAAGCCGGTGGTTCTCGACCTTTCTCGAGCCGCGGAACACCATTCGTATACTTATACGGAGCATTAGCAACAATATATTCAAAAAAATTTAAGCAATTTTGTTTACTATTGTCGAGAAACAACGAAGCAATAAAATGGAAACATCGAATTGTCTACGAACGTGGATATATGTTGTACTGTACGTTTGCAATAAAAACTTACAAAGAATTTTTTTCGTGCAACACTCGAGACACTTTGCGGAACACCGGTTAAGAACCCTGCCTTGGGCCTTTTCCAAGTACAGGTATCTGTAAAAACGGTAGTAGCCGCAACTTAACAATTATTGAATAGTATTTGTTTCGTGTAATGTATAACGACAGAGCTCGGCCATTGTTTAAAAGGCGTGGACGGGACCGGCATAAGAAGTAAGAAGGAAAAGAAAAACGACGGAAATAAACGTTTATTTATTGGTTGTCGGCTATTTAAAACGCGAAGGGGTTTTCGGCCCCACCCGGTGGAAAAATACAAAATTGGGCTGGTCACCGCGGGCCCAGAAGATTCTCTATTTCGCCCGCCTCGGCGAACTGCTGTCCGTCGATGCAGTAGGAAAGCTTGTACTTTAGCCGCACTTTCTCCTGGAAAAGAAATTTCGGGGTCTTTCCATCATCGTTCATCGTCCCCACACCTTAAAAACAACGGTGGGCGGTACTCACCCGATTGGGATTGGCCAGTAGCAACACCTGGGTGATGGCGGCTGGAGGAAGGATGGGGTTGTAGGCGGGTAGGTCGGTGGCCGAAGGAGACTGCAGCTTTATTTTCATGGTCTGCGGAATAGGAATTATCGTTAAGGTAAATTTTCAAAATCGATAAGACGGTCGACTGTGTAAATAACGCCGCGTTTTCCACCACTCCAGTACTTAGGGCATGTTAAAAAATCTAGCAACGAGAATTTCCCAGCTATTACAAGAGTTTTTATCAAAAACACTTTTATATTATTAAGCAAAAAATAAATTGTTTCTCCATCTGTTATCAGATTTTGCTATAAAAACTTTATTTTTATCATAAAATGGCAAAAACCTTAATTTTGAGGATAGAGGCGAGTTTTATAGAAGAATGTAAATGTTAATAACGAATAAAATCTTCATTGTCTATCCCTCTCGACATACATGACCCCTCTATCTCACCACCCTCTCCACCTTTTAACCACCAAATTTAACGGCATCGATGCCCTTATATACAAGCCACCGTGCCAAATTTCGTTTCTTAATCTTCACCCCGTCCTGAAACATTAAGCGAAATAAGAAATTTTTTTTAATGTTTTACTTTCCTGGCCATTATGGATGCATAACAAGGGAAAGTATCATATTTGACCCTCAGAGTTTTTTTTGCAAATCTCCACGTTTTGAAACCCCTAAACCCAAAAAAGTCGGAAAAAATCCGTGAATGTGTGTGTTTGCATCTATTTTGCTTAATATCTCAGGACCAGGTGAAGAAAAAGAAATGAAATTTGGCACAGCAGCTTGTATATAAGGGGCATTGATGCTGTTAAATTTTGATGAAAGGTCGAGGGGATGGAGAAAGAGAGGGGTCTGAATTAATAAAGATTTTACTTGTTGTTAGCATTTTAGCATTTACAGTGTTTCGTAAAACAAATCTCTACCCTTAAAATTAAGTTTTTTTGCTATTTTATAGTCGAATTTGACACGATTCCAATATTTATTGTTATGTATACATAACACCTAGGAAAGTAAAACTTAATACCCGACCTAAAGTAAAATATTAGCATTTTAATATTGGAAAACGAGAAAACGATCCGTAAAAATTGTAAACGTGGCCATTTTAACGAAATTTTCCGCTTAGGACTGAATCCGGACGAAAATCGGATTTTGGGTGAGGAAAAGTCGGCGTTACTTTGCAAGGAAAGACCAAATTAATTAGACAAGGCTGTTAATGCGGTGCTTACCTTTGGCACCGCGGCCAGGAAACTGAAACTCTTGACGGGACTCGGGTTCTTGCTCATGGTCGACACCACCATGACCGTCACGTCGGATCTGGGTCGGTCTTTTCCGAAGTGAATGACCACCGTCAAGCCGTTCTTCTCCGGAAGAGTCAGAGGCGAAATGTCTCCTTAAAGTATTTTAAGTACGTTATAACGGTTTTCGATACATTCATAAAATATTGCACACAAACCGTATAAAATTTATCTATGGGTAAACAATGCAAGCATTGTTTGAATATACTATATACATATAATTAACGAAAACAACCATACGCATATGCATATACAGTATATACATACACAATGATCACTACATCGGGAACACCTGCGGGTCTCCCCCGTTTTGCCCACCACCGACTACTATTGCCTAGTAAACACGTCGCCACTGCACCCAGCTGTGAAGTGGCAATTACGGGTTATCCCGAGACGGAGTTGCTAATGCAGTCATCTTCGGCGTATAATTTTCTTCCGTGTTAAAATATGGCACGAAACGTTTCGAGTATTTACTTATTTTTCTGTCCGTCGTGGAAAAGTCTACGTAATTTAAAAACCTACATCGGGTTTGTAATAAAAGGCGGTGGAGCGAAATATACGGATCATTTTAAAAAGCTGTTTTCGTCGAAATTTAGTATTTAATTTCTGGCGAGAACGCGTGAATATTAGGAACGTTTAACGCACCTGGTTTGATGGACTCCAAAGGTACAAAAATATCGAGGGGAAGAACTTCGACGGTGGAATTTTTGGACGAAACGTTGGCTCTTTCTGTCTCCGGGACGTTAACGGATCCGGTAGAAGAGGACCGAAAGGGTGCCGACCGAAGGAGAGTCGACTGTTTCTGCAGCAGATTCATCGGTATCTTTTGAGGAGTGCTAAATATGGCGATAATAAGTGTAAATAATAAGCGATTTTCCGGAAACTAAAGTCATTTATGTAAATTACCTGGGGAAATCCAGTTTGGGTGCTCCGGACGAGGGCAGACTTTGCTTTATCATCTGTCCCAGGGCGTCGAAACAATCCAGGGACTTACCCGAAGCATTTTGTTTTTCCGTTTCGTCGTCGTTGGCCGATTTTGTCTTTTCTGAAGAAAGATTAATAACGAAAAATTCCTAATTTAAGATGGAGAAGAAACCACAATTTGACTTCGATCCGTCGATATTTAAGCAGTTTAGCTTTGGTAAAATTTATGTAAGCCAATCGACTTTAAAACGAATTTTCCTAAATACGTACGACGGCGACACAAGTCTTTCCCATTATTAAAAGTTGTAGCCCTTCCCGAGTTTAATTATCGTAATAAAGTTTTACATCGGTGAGAGTTATTTAAATATACATAAAAAATCATTAATCGCAAATTTCAGATTTATAAATAGAAATACACACAAAATACCCCATTTAACACTTATGCTCTAATTTGTAGACGTGGTGAGAATTCTTTATTCAAATTTATTCATTCGTTAATGAAGGATTCCCACGACTGAACGGATTACGGATGGTTTACAATAACGGGACGTTCCCTCCAAAGTAACCAATTTTTCGGGTTATTAAAACAGTTTATAAAGGAAATTACATTCTCCGGAATGGAGGTGAGAAGATATTCAAATATTCACACCCGCTAATCCGTGCGAAAACGCCGGTTTTAAATAAAGCAAAGGGAGGAACTTACCGACGCTTAGGGGTCGTAAGGGCTCCAACAAGTTATTAGAGGGCGGCGTACCGCCGGTTTCGGTCAAACTGGAAGTGGCTCCGTCACCAGGCGCGGAGTGGCGTAAGAAGGAATGTGAGAAATAATCTGGGAGTGAAGTAGAGACTGCGGGCGTGGAAAATAACTGGCCCAAATCGCTTAAACTACCTTCTTTCTCGGAATTCGATTCTTTAACGGGTTCTTCGCCGGCTTCGTTTAGACCTGAAACGAATTTCTATCAGTATTTTGCGTAAAATCCATTCCGAAGTTCGCGTGTAAAATTCGTCTGTCTCGAATAATCGGCTAAAATAAAAAGAAATTCTCCACTTTTAGTCTGTATATATCCATTCGTCTTCCTTTCTTTACATTTTTTATATAATTAAAGCCGAAAATTCCATAGTCCTCCGTACGCGATTTGACACGATGCAAAAATTATCGTACCGTCTTTGTATAATCGAAACAGAAATACGATGTATTGCAATAATTGAGCAATTTTCCCACGAATTATGCAGAAAATTTGTTGAAAAATAATTAAAGTGCAACGAACAATTATTTTTTGTGGCACGGTCACAATACCGGGCTGTAATTTTTAATTTATTTAATTTAAAATATATGCTCGCCACCTCAAATTAGTGGCGGCTTGTCCCCGTACATCATACTTTTCCTTTAACAATAGAGTCTTGATAGTCATCTATTAACTGCTTTAGGAGGAAGTTTGAATTGAAATAACGTGACTTCCGGTTGGCATCGGAAGTTAATCTATAGTTAATCGGGTCATCACGCCCCTAAGCTTACTATATCTGGTCTCGACTTTCGAGTATTTAACTCCGTTCTCGAGATTAAGGAAAAACGGACGGAATTTATAATCTGCAATTTTTCAAATTGCAGCCCAACCAAAAAAAAAAATTAGAATTTAAAACGACTTTTCGCCGGAATGCTTTATATTGTAAATTATACCGATTAATAAAAGAAAACTTACCCAAGGCTAATAACTGGTCGTCTAATAGAGACTTATTTTCAGACGAAACCGAACCTTCTTTGGGTGGTAAACTGAGATCTAAAAGTGCTGATTCGGCTGGAATAAAATATTGCAAATAATTCAAAATGCTAATAATAAAAATATAAATCCGTATTTTCACTCATTTAAATACGATAAATTCGTCGGTTTCCGTTAACCACGGCCGTACCGAATCCATTATTTTTGACAAATCGTAAGACGGCGACGGCAACCGATGCTTATTCCTGCTGCACGACGACCCCAATTCTTCCTTTTTTAAATCGATAAATAACGTAATAATTACAGTTAAGCGCCGAAACAAGGAAGGCGAAGACGTCCACAATAGCGTTGAAATTGCATCCCGACGGTTCTACCCGCCGACACGTGAGTCACTGTTGCATTTACATAAATTTTCCACGTGGCTTTTGTCTGTGCAGCCAAATAAAAGCAGACTACCGATTATTTTCTAAATTAAACCAGAACATCTATTTCGATGTGGGTTTCTTTTGTTTTCCGTCGAGTATTCTTGTCCAAGAGACCGACGTCTTTTGATAAATTTTTTATTGTTTAAATAAAATGAATACTCGTGTAATTTAAAGCAGCGGTCTAAGGACGACAATCGCACAATAGATTATTTATTGATTTATTTCCATTATTACTTATCGATAACGGTCATTTCGTGTTTAGTTTTAGATTCGAATAAAAATCCCTCAATGAGTGAGAAAATAACCGAGCAAATTAAAGAAATTCATACTTACCTCTCGTGGCATCTCCGCCCGATTCCATAATTTCCGTATATTTTGTGATGACCGCATTTAATTGGTCGTTAGCTTTTAATATATCACCTGTTCGCGAAATAATTTGATAAAGTAAAAAATATAAAACAATTTTAACCAAATGCTTTTAAATCTTACTCACTCAATCCTTCGTCCTTCTCGTCCATTTCGCCGGCCAGCCTGAACAGTTTCGGTCTTAACCTCAAAGAACTTTCGTACAGTTCCTATTTGAAAAGAAATTAATTATTATTTTGTGCCCGACTACAAATTAAAATATCCATTAAAAAGTTAAATTTGCTTTTCGAATTTTATTTTAATAAAAGACAAAAAAAAAAAACAATGCGCCTAATGAAATAAATTTTGTAGATTTGTTAATATTTTTCTAAATTAACTTTGAAAATTTACAAAAATTCAATTCTCAATCTCAAGTAACTGTTGGAGGAAACTGTGTGATGTGTGTGTAAACACATTTTAATTATAATTATTTGCTTTTTGTCCTTATAGCAAATTACATATAGCTATTAAGAAGATTTGTTACATTCTATTATTATATGATGTTTGTGGAATTGGAGAAAATTATCAAGTTTACAGTCTGAATATCATCTCCTCTCTCAAAATCTGAGATGATCAATCAAATTATCATCATCTGAAATTACTTTTTACATTTAGCAAAGAGAACAAGAACAATTTCGTTGTACGAATTGAAATTTAATGAAATAATCCAATTCTGGATTTATAATTTAATAATTACATAAAACCAAATCTAATCCAATGCAATATTCCACTAACATTTTCTAAGTATTCTGTTACATCCGTTGCAATTAAATCTTTCCTACACAAACGAGTACTTTTAAAGCCATAGTTATTTCTCTTATGTTAATCTTTCTCCTAATGAGAATCGTTGTATCTTCAGTTACGAGATTATTCATTATTTAACCACTCTTTTTCAATTGCGACATTGCTTAATTTTACATCTATTTCGCTTATAAAAAACATTCTGGCATTACTGATCACAAATAAATAATTTTCAAACAGATACAGACAGTTTAACCAATTACTTCTATGGAAGAAAAAGTTTTAAAATAATCAATTTTATTAAATTTTGTTAAGCAACAACACATTAAATAATAATAATACAAATTCCTAAAAACAGGTAATGTTTGGCACCTCTGTTTCCACTTCTGCTGCATGCGCAATAACTTTTAATTGGAAATTGTCATTTGTCTTAAAACATAAATCTTAAACATTGAAAAAGCATTTAAATTAAATGCTTCTTATCTGCGAAAAATTAATTAAATGCATGTGGCACTGCATAATATAACCGACAATGTCTTATTGGTACGTAACGCACCCCAGTGTCTGCCTGCGACCACTTCGGAATTGTCATTTTGTACTGCAAATGTAAGATGCATCTCTATTTCGGACAAGTAAAAGCAGGCAGAAAAGTGCATACTAAAATTGAGAAACAAGGCATATTTTTTAAGTTACTTATATATTAATAAAACTTAAATATAATAGAGGTTATAATAAAATAGTAAATGAAAGAGGATGTTATTTATTATAAATCACTTTTCAAAATCTACAGATTAATCACTCATTCAGTTATGCTAAAATAGTAAATTAACTGTAGAAACTATGTAATAGTAGTGCTGATGTAATAACGTTTTACTCACAAAAATTGGATATTAGAAAAAGTTGTTTTAAAATATTTATTTTATACTTTTTCCTCTAGCAATAACACTTGATTTATCATTACAAAAAGTGAGTTTGTGGCACTTTACTGATGTGATCCATTATTTGAATACTTGTTTATCGATGGATTAAAAGGATAAATTTTCAAATAATCATTTAGAAGTAAAGAAATAACTTATAATCAGTTTGTTTAAGATTTAAATATTACATATGTTATACAATATTTTATATTTAAAAAAAAAATCAGAAATAACTACCGTGAGAAAATGTTTATTTAAAAATTTATCAAATTATCCGAGGAAAACAATTATATTTATTCCAATTACAATCATATAACTTTGATGAATTTAAATTCTTCAAACATTTAACATTGTTTTTTGTTCCTTTACTGAATGTCACTTTTGTTTTAATAAAATAATGTAGCTTTTTGTTTTTATCCCATATCTTATTTCAATATAAGCTTCCTAAACAAATTTCTTTTATGTAAATTTGTAAAAAAAAAATACTTTTGAAATACTATTCCAAGTATTCTAAATTCTTTTACTTCTTAACTTAATATTAAAAGCCAAACTATAGATTGGAATATAAGATTTATTAGAAAATTTAAACTGAAGCCATGCAATCATAGTTACAAAAATATGTATTAATGTCTCCATTAGATAGTCCAATAAAACATCTTTAAAATTATAAATTAGTTAACTGGTTCTAAAATAAAGACTAAAAATGTTTAAGTTATGAAAATATGTAAATAATATATTAGTTAACAAATTAATGAATTTCTTAATTATTTGTAGTGGCTAGTGCTTATCCCTTAGGCTTTGCTCAAATGGAAAAAAATATTTCCTTTTCATAAACTGGTGCATGTCAGCCCAAGAAAATAAAACTTACAGTCCCTAAATAATCAAGTCATGAGGCCTTCTAACAATTTTCTATATCATACTTATTATTTTTTTATTTCAAGCCTATTAATTTTTAAATTTTTTTTATATTTAAAATAATTATTAAAGTTTTTCTGAATACATTGCATATTTATTGCTAGTTTTTGTTTATATTTATTATTATTATTATCAGGGCTGTGGAGTCAGAGTCAAAGTCGTGGAGTTTTGGTGTTTTAGCCGAAGTCAGAGTCATCAAAAAATCCGCCGACTCCAACTCCTTTTTTACTTCTCAACTTGTTATGTATATAAAATGGAAAAGTATTGGAATCATGTCAAATTTGACCTCTAAGGTTTTTTGGGAAATCTACACATTTGGAGACCTCCCGAACCTCCCAAAAAAGGCAATAAAAGGGAAAAAATTCGTGCATGCATGTGTGTTGGCATCTAATTTGTTTAATTTTTTTATTTTCTGTTCTGAGATATTAAACAATATCTTAGAATGGGTAAAGTTTAAGAAACAAAATGTGGCACTGTAACTTGCATATAAAAAGGGAATTAATGCTATTAAATTTTGGTTCTTAATTAAAGGTTGACAGAGTGAAAACATAAAAGGGATCATGTGTCATATTTCTTAATGAATATTTTACTTATTATTAGCATTCAAAATTAAAAAATAACACTTATCTCTACTCTCAAAGTATGCATTTTGTCATTTTATAATAGTACAGTAAAACCTGTTAAGATGTTCTCATCTAAGATGTTAGAATGTGTATGGGGACACAATTTAGTTCAACCACTTTGACACTTAATAACTAACTCCTGTGTTAACCATCTGACTCCAATTTAAAAACCACAGAAATTATTAGGCTTCAAACAGGGTGAACAAAATCATGCCCCCATACACAGTCTAACATCCACACATATATAAAAAATTCTTGAGTCTTATGCATATCTCAAAATTTTAAGGTGTCCTGAGTCCAAAAATGTAAAAATTTGGAAGGGGTAATTTTTTTGACCGAGCACTATGCTTTCCCTCTTTTATATATAACAGCTGGAAAAGTAAAAATTATCAAATACATTTTTATATATTGACTGTGTCATTACTTAGAGGAGTCTTTTAACTTTGAAATAAAAAGTTTCTACATTCTATCTTTATTAGAACGCTATTTATTGAATATTTTATTCTGAGGTCATGTGATGACATCAGAATTTCCGGGTCTCTTTTGGTAGCAAGTCCGCCCCTGGTCAAAGTCCGATGGTAAGGAAAAGTTGGAGTCAGAATCAAAGTTGGTAGATTTTTTATGCGACTCCATAGCCCTGATTATTATACATAAAAATTATATAAACATGGTAGACATTTCACAAAATCAGCTTAACATATTTGCAATTTTTAATATTTGTTTTACAAAAATTTTAAAATAAGACTGTTATAAAAGCATAATTTTTTCAAAATTTCCTTGCCTAATTAAACAAAATTTGATTATTTTGTATTTTTTTTCATAGTAAACAACTGAATAACTTCTCAGTAGATTCATTAGATTAGAAAGTTAGTTTAAAAATTATTATTATAAATTCTATTGTAATACACACCAAATCAATAAAGAGGAAAAACTAGAAAATATATTATTACAAACAGTTAGAACAATGACAGAAATAAAAGAAATGGATCAAAAAAATAATAAGAATATTTTACCAAAGTAAGATCAATAAATGCATGTTTGTTTACAAACAATGCCGACCTCAGTATGTGTCAAATTTCACTTCCAACATTGTAGATAGATCCACTTTTGATGCCAACTCTTCTATAATAAACCCTCTTCTAACAGATGTAGAAAACAGCACATTGATTGCTATTATAGAAAAGAAGTTATAACATTTTAAAATAAGGCATCCAATTCTTTGATTTTGTAGTATTATATTAGCTAAACAGAAAAATAAAAATTGCTTTTGATAAAGTAATTAATGAAAGTTGATAATAAAAAGAATAAAACAAATCAAAATGGTCATTTCTAAATATCTATAAAGCTGAAGATTATTAACCTTTCAACAGTGGACTAGTCAGGTATAGTTCTACCCCCAGTGAAATAAATTAATGGAGAATAAATGTGGGAAATTTTTAAAGTATTTTTTTGTGCATTTTTTCTCATTACCATTTCACAAAAAGATTTTGTAAACAGTTATGTCTACTAAAGAAAAGTCTTTTTATTGTTACATAATTCATTTATTAGGCTAATTTTTTTTCATGGTAGTTTTTGGCAATACACCCAAAAGAATTTAACGGAAATATCTGCTCTTCACTGCTGAGTGATTAAACATAAATAAATATATTAGAATCACATTTAAATTTCTACCTAAAAGAAATTTGGTACTAATAAACTTTCATTCTAATTCTAATAAAAACAGTCAAGATCCTATAATGAAAGAACTGGGACTATAGAACTGTAATGGACAGTCCATCTTTAAGTAGCCTTTCTATATAAATCTTATCAATATTAGTCATTCATCAACCTAGTTTCACTGATAAATTCTAAAACATCTGTGAGTAGAATTAAGAAAAAAACATATAATTAAAAAGATAGATGTTTACTTTATATAAAGAATAAGATATACAATGAGTAAGTATATACTTCTGTAACCACCTAATCCCTGTATTGCTTATATCAAAAATTATTTGAACTTAGATAAACACCACACACAATAAGTAGCAAAGCTGTTAATGCGGTGCTTACCTTTGGCACCGCGGCCAGGAAACTGAAACTCTTGACGGGACTCGGGTTCTTGCTCATGGTCGACACCACCATGACCGTCACGTCGGATCTGGGTCGGTCTTTTCCGAAGTGAATGACCACCGTCAAGCCGTNTTAAAATAAAAATATAAATAAAATGAATTTAACCTTAATCAAAACAAAAAAAATTATTAAAGATAAATAAGTAATAATTCAGAATGCAAAAAAGCTCACTTTAAATATGTTTGAAACTAAACTGATGAGTTAAGTTTGTGTATATTATTAACACTTATAAAATTGTAATAAATATATAGAAAATAAAGCAAGTGTTGTCATACAAAGACAATAAATTAAAAATTTTCATATGAAAAGTGTCTAATATGAAAAAGCAAACATTTCTATTTCTAATAACCTAATAACTGTATAAAATCATTATTACATCAGCAGTCAATCTATTGTTGAAACCTTAGTTTTTATTCTAATTTAAAATTAAAATATTTGGTACACAGAAATTAAAGCATTTCAAAAATGCACTCAAATATTATTTCTTTAATTTTACCTTTTAAAGCAGTGGTTTCCAACCTTTTTAAATCTATGGCACACAAGTACACAAAAATTGTGGCAAACTATTATTAATTAATTACAACTAGACCTGCCAATAGGTTGATCACAGAGCTCTCTCTAATACTTGTTCTATGATAGTAAAAACTTCTGAAATATAGTTAAATTAATAAAATATATTTCTGTGTTATCATTTATTTTACAAATTTTTAAATTTGTTGCTTTAATTTTTTATTTACCTCTCAGCACACTTATAATGGTTTACTGGCACATGGTATACTGGTTAAATAACCACTGTTTTAAAGTAAAAATTTAGTAAGATAAAAAGTTTTACACATTTTATTTAAATTGATTTTGAATGTTACATATGGTAGTATATTTGAAAAATTACAATGTAAATTTTATTTCTAACTTAATCGTNGTGACATTTTCTGCATGTGTCATTTGTGAGTGTTGTATCTTTGAGTATGTGTTTTCTGTAGTTTTTAGTATTTATGACCTGATCCTGTATGGCAATCATGAATCCTTCCATCTCCCCAAAGAGGCATCCCTGATCTAATCAGCTGTTTTATGCAGTTTTGTCAACAAAATCCTGGGCCAGGTCATAAGGATGCCTGCCATGGAGTGCCTTTTGAGCCCACAATTGCCTAATGGTGTCTATGCTTTTTCTGTGTTGTGTCATGTCTGTGTGTTGTGAGTGTAAGTTTAATGGTGTGCTATTTGAGTTTGCTAGGGTTACTGCTTTATGTAATTGTGATGTTTCTTGTTTCCTGTAGAAAAACTCTCGCAGTGACTGTATTTGTTTGTAGTGAAGGTTAACTAGGTCAATCAGGCCAGGTCTGCCATCTTTACATGGAAGGGTTAATCTTTTTGTGGCGGATTTAGGATGATGTTGTTTATGCTTCGTAAGTGTTGTTCTTGTTTTCCTTTGTAGTTGCTCAAGATCTGTGTGAGTCCAATGTATAACTCCAAAAGAGTATGTGAGTACTGGGACGACATAAGTGTTTATTGCTTTAATTGTGAGTTTTGCATTTATTATTATTATTACTATTATTATTATTTAAACAGAATTTATTTTTCTTAATTAAAAACTCCTTCAACTACTAACTAATTTCCTAGATTACACTCAATTAATTACAAAAAATATAAACAATCATCAAATTCTTATAAAATTATTCAAATAATAAAGAGAACAAATGATTTATAAAATTCCATGCAATTCCATATATTTAAAAAAGACTCAAATAAAATAAAAATACAATTGAATAAAACAAAATATAAAAAGACAACTTCTACAGAATTATTTTATAATTCCTGTAATTTTATTTATCAATGTATGAAAATTTTTCAGAAGTTGTAGAAATTAAATATTTTTAATTTTTACCAATATTAGAGGATTCATAAATTTATTATTTCTGAAGCTATAAATGATGAATCATTAATCTATGTTAATTTTTTTTATTTGTATCAATCTCTTTCATTTAATAATGCTATGATCAAGTTGAGTATTTGGTTAACATTCTTAAGAAAAAAAATTTAGTTGTCTTGCAATTCATTATTAAAGATTTCAGAAAATGCCTAATTATTCTAATGTGCAGAAACACAACTATATTATTAGCTTGTTTGGAAAGTAAGTTTGTTTTTTTTATCTCTAGACGGATTAGTCATATTTTTCCCACCATTTTTATTCTAAATCATATTATCATTATATATTTTGACAGCTAGCATTTTAAGGCTTATTTGTAAAAAATTATTTGATTTTGTGCAATTGTTTATTTTTTGTGTCCCATCAAATATGGAAGATCGAAAGCAGCATTTTCGGCATTTAAACTAAAATATTTGGTAAAATTCAATAAGAAGATATATATTTAAATATTATAAAAGTAAAATTTTCTTACCTTCATCAGCTCTTTTTCTTCCTCAGATGTTTCTCCAGCTTTATAACAATTCAACATGTCTGATAAAACATTAGCATTAATTTTAACTGTTTCCACTTCAGTTACTCTTCTTTGAACTAATTCCATTCGATGATCTGCCTTCAATAAAATTATTAAATAAGAATATACTTACAAATAAACTTATATTAATTGAAAAACTATTATTATTATGTTGGGTTTAGTGGATTATACTCAGTACACACCTGTGGCTGTGTACTATACCAGAGTCAAGGCATAACAACCAAGAACAAATTAAATAAGTGTGTCTGTGTCTGTATTCAGGAATTTCCTAACAATATGGCATGTATTCAATATAGTGGCCTTCTGTAGTATTATGTATGTATTTCTACTCAATTCTAATGTTCCCAAGCTTGTAATACACACCAAATCAATAAAGAGGAAAAACTAGAAAATATATTATTACAAACAGTTAGAACAATGACAGAAATAAAAGAAATGGATCAAAAAAATAATAAGAATATTTTACCAAAGTAAGATCAATAAATGCATGTTTGTTTACAAACAATGCCGACCTCAGTATGTGTCAAATTTCACTTCCAACATTGTAGATAGATCCACTTTTGATGCCAACTCTTCTATAATAAACCCTCTTCTAACAGATGTAGAAAACAGCACATTGATTGCTATTATAGAAAAGAAGTTATAACATTTTAAAATAAGGCATCCAATTCTTTGATTTTGTAGTATTATATTAGCTAAACAGAAAAATAAAAATTGCTTTTGATAAAGTAATTAATGAAAGTTGATAATAAAAAGAATAAAACAAATCAAAATGGTCATTTCTAAATATCTATAAAGCTGAAGATTATTAACCTTTCAACAGTGGACTAGTCAGGTATAGTTCTACCCCCAGTGAAATAAATTAATGGAGAATAAATGTGGGAAATTTTTAAAGTATTTTTTTGTGCATTTTTTCTCATTACCATTTCACAAAAAGATTTTGTAAACAGTTATGTCTACTAAAGAAAAGTCTTTTTATTGTTACATAATTCATTTATTAGGCTAATTTTTTTTCATGGTAGTTTTTGGCAATACACCCAAAAGAATTTAACGGAAATATCTGCTCTTCACTGCTGAGTGATTAAACATAAATAAATATATTAGAATCACATTTAAATTTCTACCTAAAAGAAATTTGGTACTAATAAACTTTCATTCTAATTCTAATAAAAACAGTCAAGATCCTATAATGAAAGAACTGGGACTATAGAACTGTAATGGACAGTCCATCTTTAAGTAGCCTTTCTATATAAATCTTATCAATATTAGTCATTCATCAACCTAGTTTCACTGATAAATTCTAAAACATCTGTGAGTAGAATTAAGAAAAAAACATATAATTAAAAAGATAGATGTTTACTTTATATAAAGAATAAGATATACAATGAGTAAGTATATACTTCTGTAACCACCTAATCCCTGTATTGCTTATATCAAAAATTATTTGAACTTAGATAAACACCACACACAATAAGTAGCAAAAAAACTACATTAAATATTAATAATTATGTGAAAATTCATTTCTTATTTTGATTGTAATGCACAATTAAAGTAAAAATATAAATAAAATGAATTTAACCTTAATCAAAACAAAAAAAATTATTAAAGATAAATAAGTAATAATTCAGAATGCAAAAAAGCTCACTTTAAATATGTTTGAAACTAAACTGATGAGTTAAGTTTGTGTATATTATTAACACTTATAAAATTGTAATAAATATATAGAAAATAAAGCAAGTGTTGTCATACAAAGACAATAAATTAAAAATTTTCATATGAAAAGTGTCTAATATGAAAAAGCAAACATTTCTATTTCTAATAACCTAATAACTGTATAAAATCATTATTACATCAGCAGTCAATCTATTGTTGAAACCTTAGTTTTTATTCTAATTTAAAATTAAAATATTTGGTACACAGAAATTAAAGCATTTCAAAAATGCACTCAAATATTATTTCTTTAATTTTACCTTTTAAAGCAGTGGTTTCCAACCTTTTTAAATCTATGGCACACAAGTACACAAAAATTGTGGCAAACTATTATTAATTAATTACAACTAGACCTGCCAATAGGTTGATCACAGAGCTCTCTCTAATACTTGTTCTATGATAGTAAAAACTTCTGAAATATAGTTAAATTAATAAAATATATTTCTGTGTTATCATTTATTTTACAAATTTTTAAATTTGTTGCTTTAATTTTTTATTTACCTCTCAGCACACTTATAATGGTTTACTGGCACATGGTATACTGGTTAAATAACCACTGTTTTAAAGTAAAAATTTAGTAAGATAAAAAGTTTTACACATTTTATTTAAATTGATTTTGAATGTTACATATGGTAGTATATTTGAAAAATTACAATGTAAATTTTATTTCTAACTTAATCGTTTTTAATAAATTGATGTTTACAGTTTAAAAAATTTTTTTGTTTAATTGTGTTAGGTATGTAAAGTCAAATATCTTTTCTTTCTGTTTTAATACAGTTGTCTATATATTGTCTCAATATAAAAATACAATTTTCATGAATCTGTGCATTAAACTAAAATATTTGGTAAAATTCAATAAGAAGATATATATTTAAATATTATAAAAGTAAAATTTTCTTACCTTCATCAGCTCTTTTTCTTCCNTATGTTGTGTCATGTCTGTGTGTTGTGAGTGTAAGTTTAATGGTGTGCTATTTGAGTCTGCTAGAGTTACTGCTTTATGTAATTGTGATGTTTCTTGTTTCCTGTAGAAAAACTCTCGCAGTGACTGTATTTGTTTGTAGTGAAGGTTAACTAGGTCAATCAGGCCAGGTCTGCCATCTTTACATGGAAGGGTTAATCTTTTTGTGGCGGATTTAGGATGATGTTGTTTATGCTTCGTAAGTGTTGTTCTTGTTTTCCTTTGTAGTTGCTCAAGATCTGTGTGAGTCCAATGTATAACTCCAAAAGAGTATGTGAGTACTGGGACGACATAAGTGTTTATTGCTTTAATTGTGAGTTTTGCATTTATTATTATTATTACTATTATTATTATTTAAACAGAATTTATTTTTCTTAATTAAAAACTCCTTCAACTACTAACTAATTTCCTAGATTACACTCAATTAATTACAAAAAATATAAACAATCATCAAATTCTTATAAAATTATTCAAATAATAAAGAGAACAAATGATTTATAAAATTCCATGCAATTCCATATATTTAAAAAAGACTCAAATAAAATAAAAATACAATTGAATAAAACAAAATATAAAAAGACAACTTCTACAGAATTATTTTATAATTCCTGTAATTTTATTTATCAATGTATGAAAATTTTTCAGAAGTTGTAGAAATTAAATATTTTTAATTTTTACCAATATTAGAGGATTCATAAATTTATTATTTCTGAAGCTATAAATGATGAATCATTAATCTATGTTAATTTTTTTTATTTGTATCAATCTCTTTCATTTAATAATGCTATGATCAAGTTGAGTATTTGGTTAACATTCTTAAGAAAAAAAATTTAGTTGTCTTGCAATTCATTATTAAAGATTTCAGAAAATGCCTAATTATTCTAATGTGCAGAAACACAACTATATTATTAGCTTGTTTGGAAAGTAAGTTTGTTTTTTTTATCTCTAGACGGATTAGTCATATTTTTCCCACCATTTTTATTCTAAATCATATTATCATTATATATTTTGACAGCTAACATTTTAAGGCTTATTTGTAAAAAATTTTATTTGATTTTGTGCAATTGTTTATTTTTTGTGTCCCATCAAATATGGAAGATCGAAAGCAGCATTTTCGGCATATTTTGCTCTTTTATTACCGAAAAGGTAAGAATGCTGTTCAAATGAGAAAAAAATTGCGTGACATGTATGGAGAAGATGTATTGACAGAATGACAGTGCCAAAACTGGTTTACAAAATTTTGTTTTGGCAATTTCAATATTAAAGATGCACCATGTTCACAAAATAAAGGTACCGATTGAAGCAAACTGCTGAATAACAACACGTGAAATCACTAAGAGGTTAAATTTGTCAAATTGAACTGTTTATGATTACTTGGAACAAATTGGTTTCGTTTCAAAGCTCGATATATGGGTTCCACATGTTCTTAAGGAGAGATGCTATCTTTGGTGGGATTTTAAGGGAATTTTTTTTTTGAGCTTTACCAGACAATTTAACAATTGATTCAAAAGTGTACTGCCATACTGCCATCGAGTAAACAAATTTGGTAATATCATTAAATAGAAAAGGCAGTCAGAATTGATCAACAAAACAGATGTAGTGTTTTACCACAATAATGTCAAATTTCACACAAGTTAGTAACTCATCAGAAACTGTTATAACTTAGATGGGACCTGCTATCACAACAACCATACTTGCCAGATCGAGCACACTCAGATTATTACTTGTTCTGGTCTATACAAATTTTTTTAACTCTAAGACATTTACTTGAAATGACAATGTCAAAAATCACTTGGATCAGTTTTTTGTAAGCAACAATCAAAACTTTTATGAATGTGAATCATGCTACTACCAGAAACGATGACAACAAGCATTTGACCAAAATGGTTGATATATAATTCAATAAAATATTTATTTATTATAAAAATATTGTGTTTTTTATCACGGAAAAAAACAAACTTACTTTCCAAACAACCCAATAAAATAAAATAATTATAAATATCAATGATATATAAAAATAATTAACAAATGCGTTTAAAAACAAAAAATAATAATTATAAAATCATTCAAAAAGCAACTTTATAAAACAATCCAATAACTTCATGTGATATTGCTGCAGACTACTCATACTATCAAAATTAATAAATTAAAATTTAAATTATTACAGATCCCAAAATTTCAAGCAGACTAAGTTGTAAGTCAGCCAATGTAACTGTTTGTCTTTTATACAAAAAACATACATAAGCTGTAATTTTAACAGTTAAAGATAAAATTTTACTACCAAACCAAGCAGCATATTATCAATATCTTTGATCAGATTCACTAAACCTATTATGATGCTAATTTATATAAAGTTGATAACATATCTCATTCTTATTAATCACAATTAATCATCTAAATAGTATTTGGATTATAATAAGTATTGTATATAAATGTGAGAATCCAAACTCATAACATAACTAAATCACAACATAAGGTCTGGACAATACAACTTTGTGGAATAACTGTCAACTTTCACACTGGGAGCAGACCTTCTTTTAAGTTCTCAGCATAAAAAGTGACACTTTCTCATAACCTTCTGACATGTTATCCCAATTTCATTATTTTGATATAACAACACAGGCAATCGAAGCAGTCATCGCCAGTCATGTGATAGTTGCAGTCATCACCAGTTTCTCTCTGATGTAACAAGTCACCACCCAGCCCTATAACGGAAGGCATCGCCAATTCTTCGACTGATATCATTAACTATGTGCCTCTGAAACAGATATATGATTGATTCTGACCCGGAACATTATCCAGAACTCTTCTAACATGCCAACCTCCTCGATTATTCAACCTCCCTAAGGGACAGATTAAATCCTCTCCTGCATCAGGTCTACAAACAGATCTATCAACCCACAGGTATTTATCTCCATGCGAATCTTGTGAACTCTCTTGCTCACGAAAAGCAACAGTATTTATACCTGGTTTAGTTTGTTATATTATAATCCATTAATGAAAATGTATACTAGGTATTCTCCTTTACAAATAAACAGTTATTAGTTTTTAACCTGGCCTCTGAATAATTCACTTCCAACACATCTCTTTGACCTCCTCCATGCGACTCACCTTCTCTCAGATCTCCTCCATCCCAAATCTGATCACCCATACACATGGCCACTTGCATGACCCCAACAACAACCTTGACATTAAACAAAAACAGCCCTAATTGGTGTGCAGGGTCTTCTGTCCTGACATAATCATCGCTGAAGCGATGTCAACCCTTCATTCAAGTGGTGCAGAAGCATAGGAGGCACTTTGCACATTATCACATACAAATTAACTGGATATCCAATTTCAAAATTTCCACAAATTTTCTGTAGTAGAACATTACAAAACAAATCAATGGGTTAAGAAAATGGCTTACAGAAATCAAAAATACTACAAGGAATAAGCAGTAATTATAGTTAATAATAATAATAATATCAGGTCATAAATACTAATACTAAAAACTACAGAAAACACACTCTCAAAGATACAACACTAACAAATGACACATACAGAAAATGTCACAACATGCCATACATAAATCATGCCAGAAACTTTATAACACATCACTTCTGGTTGCAAGTTCTTGGCTCACAGATTATTTACATAGACATAATCAAGTAGTAAATATAATACACCAAGAGCTTGTAAACAAACACAAATTATTAAACATCCACAAACCATGCTACAAATACATTCCACAGACAGTATCGGAAAACAACATGCAGAAAATGTACTATGACAGAGTCATAATAACAGATAAAACAATTTACCACAACAGACCAGACATCATACTCATTGACAAACACAATAAAATCACATACATTATAGACAGCCATTCCAAACACTAAATATACAAAACACATTCACTGAAAAAATTAGCAAATACACAGAACTCGCTCAGGAAATAAGGAATCTGTGGAGGATGGATAGGGTGTTTATTGTATCTGTTGTTCTCTCCTCTACAGGTGTGATACCTCACATACTACACAAAAGCTGGAAACATTACAATTAAATAGAAATACATACATCACACTACACAAACCCACTATACTGAATACATGCCATATTGTTAGGAAATTCCTAAATACAGACACAGACACTGACACACTTATTTAATTTTAGTTTTGTTTTGGTTGCTATGCCTTGACTCTGCTCTGGCATAATACACAGCCACCAGTGTCAACTGAGCATAACCCACTAAACCCAACATAATAATAATAAATATATTGTATATTAATTCAGGAAAACTGCATGCACATGCATGCATGCAAACATGTTTGTGTTTGTGTATGTGGATTTCAATCAGCTGAGCACACATGTGCATTTATATTACTGCTACAAATTATATAAAGTTTATATTAATTAATGGATATAACACAATGATGTAAATGTAATGTCAGAATAAACAATAATACAAATACCCATACATACTTATTCCAGCACTTATTCCAATTATTATTATTAAACTTTAATAGAATTCCATTAAATATTATATGCTGGAACAAGTTCAGTACATACGATGTTATTTGTGTTGTCAACAGTTCAAGCTTGTTAATAAATTAGACAAAAATAATAAGTATTTTTCTACAATTAAAACAATAATATATTCTTATAATATAGTGTAAATTAAAAAAGTAATTTATTTTATNTGAAATGGCTTGATGAGGAGTCTGAGGAAGAAAATGTAGGTCCCTTCCTCTCAAATACAACAATCATTTTATAAAAGAATAATGAAATGTTTGAATTAGAAAATTATTCTCATCATCATCATGATTAAACAGAACATGTCTTATAAACTACTTTAAATGCTTTATTTATAACTAATTTGAAGATTGTTTCTCTATAATTTTACATGTAAAACAGCAAAACAATGATCGTTTAACTTATTACTTGCATAATAGTGAAAAAACATCAAACGTTTTGATATTTCATAACTGTATTAAGGCAAATATGAAAATTATTTTTGCATTTGTTATTGAAAACTTTACGATTTCTAAAATATTTAATAATTTAGAAAATATTTAGTTAAGTTTTCATCTCACTTAATTATATGTATTAAATTTATATTATTCAAATTTTATCAAATATTAATCATGATGATTAAATACTTCATACATATGATAGATAATGCGTAATGTCTAAACAAATATGTAAAATTTAATTTTACATTACATGGAAAACTACATAATAATCAAATTGGAGAGAGATCTTAAAAAAATCTCAATCATCTTGGTCACGCAAACATCCAACCATGATCAAAGATAGGAAATCCATACATGATGTTTCAGATATTATTAATATAAAAACTGATTTTATATTCTGGAGACCATCAGAAGAAGATTCCAGTTATTTATTGACTATAATGGAAAACAAGTAGAGACTCTTGGACTCTCTTGGAAAATGCTGCTATCATATTATTCATTCTACTTCTGTTGAAAACAATAATTCTATATAAGTGTTAATACATTTTTTTATTGTCTCATAAAATTTCTGAATATTTGTTTATCATCAATTCCAATTAATTACTCGGAATACAAACATATGAAAAGTTTAAAGCAAATGTTCCAGGAATACAATTTAAAGAATTCAACATAAAAGAGAGTATGTCTAAATTCAGGTAACATAGTTGTTACTGAAGATGTAAAACTCTGAAGCCAAAACACACAATTCTATCTGAATTTTAAATTGGTCAAAACAAATAGGAGAACAACGGTTGTTATATAGAAAATCATTTAAACAAATGATTCTGAAAGCTAAATGTTACTGTTACATAATATATAGGCAAATATATGATTTAATATACATACTCAAATTGAATTTTCAATGTTTCTTCAAGATATCACTTTTGGCCTATACATTTTTGCCAGTGACATACTTCCTTAATTAATTCATTCTTTTGACTAGCATAGTTTTATTTTAGGATGGACAAATATTTTACGTATTGAAATTTATACTTTGGGTGTTTATTATAATTCCGGTCATCGAGTATATAATTATTATTCATTGACAATTCCAATTGGATTCAGATATCAGTTTGTAATTGTACTTAAAGTTTTAATTATTTTTAAGTACAGTCGACCCCCTATAACGTGCGTTCCTATAACGGAAATTCCTATAACGTAGCGAAAAAATTGTAGCAACATATGTATAAAGGACCTCCTAAAATGTCATCACCGACTCCTTTCACGACAAGATTGATAGAATCTGGACCAATAGTGAATGAGCAGCTGAACTACTTTCCTCCGCCCTGCGCCACGCTACGAAGCGGCTAAATTGAGTTTGCTATCGTCTGTATATATAAATTAGGTACTGTACATATAATTATATATTAATTATATATAAATTAGGTACTGTATATATAATTATATATTAACTTATTGTAACTTTATTATAATTAAATATATAATTTCCGCCGTCTAGCATGGCGCCACACTACGGAGATATTAGGCAATAAGTTGAGTTTATTATCGTCTGTACAGTATGTAAATTAGGTACTGTAAGTCTAATACAGCACTAATTTTATACATTTCTTGTGAAAGAAACACTTCTTATTCAACGGCCATAAAAATTATTTATATTAATGATGTCTCCAAAGGTCAAGTTATTTTTCTGCGAAAAATTTGTTATCAGAAATCGCGGCCGCTGTTTCGTGTGCTGTTCCACGATGAAAACCAGCTTTGAGCAATGGTGTAGTCGAACGGTACACACTCGGTAAGTAATCCTATAATTTTTTGTTTATAGCATAGTTTATACAGATTATTCCCAAAAAATTATACGTGTTTTGGAAATGTTGAGTCAAATTAGTCTAGAATCAGTTAATTTTATGGAAGAAATCCTTTCAAACAGCCTTAGTCCGTAAAGTTCACACCTATCGGGCTGCGATTGGCTCATGTATTTAATCATTCCTACAACGTAAAATTCGATTAGCGTGGAACGTATCTAAGCGTTATAAGGGGTCTACTGTATATGAAATTAAAATGAATTTAGATAATAAAATCTCATAATATTATTTTACCTTAGACTTTTCTTCGTCTTCAAACACCACATTTTTTGGTCGTGGAGGTGGAGGTTTAAATGGTTCAGGAGGTTGCTTTAATAATAAAAAATGTTAATGATCTAATAAATATTTTTCAAACACAATAATATGTTAAATATAAATACAGCATAACATTATGTAATATTAAAACAAACAAATCTATATAACTTGGATAAGGATTTTAGAAAATTTATTATTTTTACTTTAATTTACAACAAAACACTCTCTTTATTACTTCATAAATAAAATAAAAATTGTATCCATAAAAAATATAGAAAACCATTTAAATTTTATCAAAGTAAAATAAAATATGTAATATTTCACTATTATTAACTCAGACCAAACAAATAATCTATAGATTATTTAATTTATGTTATAAGTGTCTCCAGGTCAATTCAATGCAAGTACATCATTGTCTGCAGATTCTCATTGCCTGACAATGGAGTCATAAATAAATTCATTTGAAAATGTGAATATTGCAAAGTACTATAGACATAATAATAAAATGCTTTCAAAAAATATATTTATTGCTGTTTAAATGTATTAACTTTTTGTGACTGCATTTTCAACATAGGGCATGCATTACATTTACAAGCTAACTGTTTTCAGGTTTTGATGTTGGTTTTATTCACTTACTCTATTTTATTTTACTTTTTTTTTGTTCAGTATTAATGGTTATTTCTCAAGCATTGTTATCATAACAGAATTAATATTTAATTTAGAAATACTCACTAATTTTTGTTTTTTAAAAAATAAATGACTTTACATTGAAGAACACGCATGCTTCCAAAATGGGCAATTCAATAGTACAGAAAGTTCAGAAAGTGGTAGTATGGCAAAATCATTTTGAAAACTTTATAAATTTATATTTAATTTTAACATCATATTTCTTTTATTATAGCTAGGAATTAATTAATAAATACCATTCCCACTGGCATGAGATATAAATTGTAAAGTTTCTAAGAATATATTACTGTGAAATACACACAATTAAAGTTGACAGTTCTGCCTCTACGAAAGAGCAAGGAAAGTGAATGTTATCATTTTTTGCAAAAACTTTTTTGAGAATGAATTAATAAAAAGTAAAGGTCATGGAAGAAATCATAAACCATAAACCGCTTTCTAGACATGTGTAAAATATAAAGATCTGTATGAGATCCAAGGAGTGTTACAGACATCACTGTATTTATATGATACAGTATATGATAATACAATAAAACCTCAATTTAAGGGACTACTTTGGGCAAGGGAATGTCCATTAAAAACAAAAGTCTCATATAATAAAGTAGATGTTAAAAACTTGACAGATTAGTTTATCTGTTTTTACTTATGTAGATATGTTTGTGTAATTAAAATTATGTATGTATGAGAAGTTTAATTTAACAGAAAACTTTTCTATATATATTATTGCTTACATACTCACTGCAGTTGAGACTTTAATAAACAAGTATACGATCTAAATCAAAATAAACAAACTCTTTTGGAAAATACACTAATTGTATTTAACTAAACAAATAAAATAATGGATACAATTTCTGTAATTACTCAGGATATATTTCTTCATATTTGAAGGTTAGACTATTTACAAAAATATCAAATTTTCGAGTCTATCTTAATCCTTTTTTTTCGAGTCTATCTTAATCAAAATTTTCGAAAATTTGATATTTTTGTAAATAGTCTAACCTTCAAATATAAATAAAATAATGTTCTTAATGAGCAGTGGTTCTTGGATTTAAAAAAAATCCTGTTAATTTAATTATATAGAAAAAACATTTTAAAATTGGCAGTATATTTAAAATTAGAAAGTTAATTTTACATATGACATATGAACTGGAAACTTTGTCCATTAAATCAAGATCTGTTAAAATGAGGTTTTACTGTACAGTGATACCTCAGTTTTCATCGATAATCCATCCAAAAACAATCAGTGAAATTCAAAACTGACAAAAACTGAGGCAATTATTTCTATATGAACCAATGTAAATCCAATTAATTCGTTCTAGACACTCCAAAATACATACCTAACACATTTTATAGAGAATAAATATAGTGTTTAATACTGAAAACAATAAGAAATTAATATTAAAGACTAATGTAAAGAATAAATGAGCGTTTAACATGGCATTCGAAGGGCTGCTGGCTGTGGAAACTTTCATTGTTTCCATGATGAAGCTAAAAGAAAAGGAAACAATGCAATTGTTTGGCTTTTTAAAAACTCTTTCTGCCCTGTGGGCACTAAGAGAGCCTCTTTTAGGAAGCCCATTATGGGTTCTGCCAGGCCCACAATGGGGTGGCTGGATGGTGAGTGACGAGGCCTGACATATCCAGATGGACCACTTCCAAAAAATTCCTGAGGATTTTTCAACCCATCCGCATTAGATCCCGGGTTCCCCAGAGCAGTAGGCTGCCACCTTGACCATCCGGCTGTCATAGAGGAGTTGTTTGGCTAGACATGGGGGGAGGTAATTCTCACACAATGAGAAACAATACCACACTGAGCAGGAAAACGTGTGGGTTGTCCTCTGTTTTCGCAAAAAAATCAATGAAAACCAAAACCGAAGTCAACAAAAACTGAGGTATTACTGTACTTGCATCAAATTGCTGGCATTGAACAGGCCAGAGACTTGTTATAAACATATAGTAATCACTAACACCAAAAATTTGTAAACAGAAAACATTTTTCAGAATTAATTGTAATTATTAGAGTATATAAAAATGGCAACAGCATATTTAATATATTCAGGAAAAAATCCAGCAATGTTTGAATTTTTTATTACATTATTTTATATATTATAAAAATATCTTTGCATTCCAAACTACATGTATTGTATTTTCAATAGAGTATTAATTTAGAAACTATTTTAAATTTTTCACATAAAAAATACAAATCTAATTTAAGTAAAAAATGAACTAAACAAACAGCCAGACTCCTTATTGAACTACTTAAGGCTTATTAATTACTAAGTAATTTGGTTAGAGATAGGTGGTATCCTAAAGCATATTCCTAGCCAAATTACTCAGTAATTAATTAGAATTTGGCTGTTTGTTTCAATCCATAATGAATTCATACCTCTAAAACATAGATAGGATCTGACTTGACAATTCCTTGTGTCTTTAACATTTGATATGCATCAAATATCTTGGTTTCCTTTTTTATCTCCATGCTCCATTTAAACATCAATTCAATTATTTTTTCTTTTACTTTATGAGATGTTCGATTCCCTAAATACTAATTCAAAATATTTTTTCTTATTGAAAATATAATGATTGTGAGGTGTTATACCTGTATATATAGGGTGATTCAAAAGTTACAGAAATTTAAAATTTGTGAGTTATTAATTTTTATAAATTTCTGTGACTTTTGAATCACCCTGTATTTTAATAAATGACAATAACAATTAGTTCTTTAATAAGTAAAAAATATCTTGATTAAAAGTTTCCTTAATATGTATTTTATATGTTCACAAGAATAGGCATATTTTAATAGTAGTAGCTTTGCAACAACTTGAAACCGAACCTTACAACTTTGAGAACAACTATTCAGTGGTTTCAGCAAAGGGTAGTCTTGTTTTGTTTAGAAACTAACAATCTTTAATTTGATTGGTGAATTGCTTTTTGTCCTTACATTATAACATGAATATATGAGCATTAAGTTTTGAACACTAAGTTTAAAGAACACATCAATGCTATAAAATAAAACCTATTAGACAGCTGGTAATACTTATGTCATCGGAGCTGTATATCAGCCTAAAGCAGCATCGCTCCTGTAGTAGAGGACATTGTACAAACTGACTGACTGCAAAAACATATGTAACCTTTCTTAAAACCTCCTCTTATTTTTGTAACTGTAATTTTGTTTATAACTTTGTATTACATTCTTTTCCATACTTTATTTACTTCACAATAATTTCATTAAGAAACAATTTTAATCTCTGGTTGCGATTGGTACAGAAAATGTATAACGTGTGAAAAATCCAGAAAATGAAGTCATCCATGCATCAGCAACAAAATAGAATGTACCTTTTAAATATGTATAAAAATGTAATTTTAAACCATTTTAATCATAAATCCAAATGTCTGTAATGAAAAACCACTTGTTGTTTTTGTAGATGCCTGTAAACCCACCAAATTGTAACTACTATGGCTGAAGAGGAACGACAACCTGTACGAAATGCATATAGTCATCATAATAACTTGTGTGATTACTTCAACTACTCACTTGTGTGATTACTTCAACAATGTCAATAGTGTGTGACAAGACCTCCATAGAGTCAAAACTTAGTGCTCATAGATTCATATTAATCTTTAACTTATTATTATAAGGAAACTTTTAGGGCCTTCTAGGGGGTCAATCTAAAAGCTCAAGTTTTTTAGAAGTTACGAAAAACTGTGACAACTTATTTAAATTGGACATGGTCAGATGGGGACCACTGATCCACTTGACATAAAATGACTCATAATACAAATGTACTTAAGTGAAACTATCAGACAAAATACAAAAATTAAATCTTGATAATTATTTTATTTGTATTTATTATATATACTAATAAAACTAGTTTCTATATTTTTATTTTGCAAAGATTATATAAAAATATTGTATATTTAAGGACATATATAATTGAATCCACATGCTCAGCAAAGTCATCCTCTACACCAATTTTTCTAATAAATAATAAAAAAATACATTAATCTAAAACTTGATTTTATTCTTTATAAATATAGAAAATAACTATAAAAGTCTGACTCAAATTGCTACAACTTTTTCTTTCATTTTATCATATTAATGTCTCTATAATACTTCTGAATGCTTCTGATAGTTATTCAATCTTATATACACAATATAAAACAGTATTTTTGTCATTGGTCAAGACTATTTGTTTACTTTAAATTGAACATGTAAAGTCCAGAGACCATAGATAACCACTCCTCATTAACTATAGAAATCTATTGGTTGTCCCATCAGAAGCTGTATTGTTCCTGTTCTGTATATACATTTGTCATGCATGATCTAACAAGATATGGTAAACTATACCAAAATTCTCAACCAAAAACAGAATCTTGCAGTAGCATGCTAGATTATGCCATTCTCAGAAGTGTTCATTAATCCATTTCTAAATATATATTTAAATTACATTCAGATTTTATGTGCCAGATCTGGCTTGGTCAAGTCATACAAAATGTACACAATCATTCATTCACTTTAAAAATATATTTCAAAATTCCATATACATCATTTCCAACTGACTTGCATAACACTTATTACAAAATTTTCCCTAGTTAATGTATTTGTGTTTTCTCAAAATCTAAAATTAAAGTAATTTTACAAATAAAATTTAAGTTTAAAATGTTTAAATTACAAATAAATATTTTACATTAAAAAATTATTTAAAATTTCATTTTAAAAAAATATAAAATAAATAGAAATTATTTACTTTTGGTGAAATAGTTTTTATAAGCTCATTTAAAAATCGAAATTTTCCTAATTCTGCAATTAAATTTGGACCACTATTCTTAATAATTTCTTCAAGAGCCTGTCAAAATAAATAAATCATCATCAGAACAACAAAAATTAAAATTTTATCTAATTTTAAATTTTTATGCTACTTATAAATAATATATTGCAGTATCATAAACATTATTTTTATTTTCTATATAATTAGAAAACAAATTCAATCATGATGTGTTTGTTTAATAATAAAATTTTATGCAATACTATTCTAAAATAATTTAACAATTTTTTAGGAAAATATTTTGAAGTACTTTTTGATGACATTGAATTATTCTAGATATAATTATACAATCAAAGAAATGCAATATTTCCAATATTACCAAACATTTATAATGATAATTTTTTAAATTTATTATTACTTAGTACTTTAAAAAAAATTTGAAAATTAATCAGCCTATCTGATTATTTTCTGATAAGTAATCCTGTGTTAAAAATTTTTACTATCTTAGAATTAAAACATAACTATATATATATATATATAATTTGGCAATTTTAAAATAATTAGTACAACAATCATTTTATAAAAGAATAATGAAATGTTTGAATTAGAAAATTATTCTCATCATCATCATGATTAAACAGAACATGTCTTATAAACTACTTTAAATGCTTTATTTATAACTAATTTGAAGATTGTTTCTCTATAATTTTACATGTAAAACAGCAAAACAATGATCGTTTAACTTATTACTTGCATAATAGTGAAAAAACATCAAACGTTTTGATATTTCATAACTGTATTAAGGCAAATATGAAAATTATTTTTGCATTTGTTATTGAAAACTTTACGATTTCTAAAATATTTAATAATTTAGAAAATATTTAGTTAAGTTTTCATCTCACTCAAAAGGATCAAAAACAAATATAATATAAAATAAACTTTAGCAATAAAAATTATTTAAAAACCAGATAAATTATTTGTATTTGGAATCCAGCACTTCCATTGCTCCTAATTATATATAATATATATATATATAAAGAAATATACTTCTATACAAATACTGTATATATTTTATAATAAGAATGGAGTGGTTAAGGTACGGATTATGATAAAAACATGCACAGCATTTACCAGTATATTGTTGAAGAAAAAAAGCTCATCTGTAGAAATCCTCTATAATTTATTAGAAAATAATAAAAGAGCAGTGCATCCTATAAGAACATTAAGTTGAATGTTTATCAGATTCCAGCCAAGGGAAACCAATTTAACATTTGCACAAAATATGCTAGAAATATTTGACACAAGATTAAAAGATTATAAATCTGACACACATTAAGAGGGCAATGAGAGCATTGGCCTTTGCTTTGAAGGATGGTAATGCAGTGAAATGGGTGGAAGCCAGAATCACAAGACTGGTTAGAAAAAAAGAAATTGGCAAAGGCCACATGGAGTAAATGCATCAATAGAAGGGATGCAGCATCCATTTCCAACTTGTAGAAGCTTTTGTTAAAAGGTTTATGCCCTACTTAATGTAATCTTATTGTAGGGCATTAGTGTTAAATTTGGATGTTTGCTTGTTTACTGGAACATATAGATAAAATGAAAATTACCTAATTAATACTATCTATAATGATTTTCATGATGTCTATTTAAATTAATTTGAACATCCTGCAGTTAAACATTTTCGAACACCAGCATTTCTTCATTGGATTTAAGATTAAACTTGATTAAGAGCTATAAACTAGCTTGAGAACATTAGTTTGGAAAATAGTTTGTGCTAGGTATTAAAAAGTTGTGTGTTACTTACTGTTTTATTTAATAACAAATATTAGTTCTCTGAAATAAGCAATGGTTTAATGTATTTACATATCACTGACACAAATGAGCATAGAATATCTGTAAGAAAAAAAAACTCCCTATATATTCAATACAATGAGCAATTACTTACTGTGACATAGTCACAATGCCAGGCTGCAATTTTTAATCATACTTTTAATTTATTTAATTTAAAATATATGCTCTCCACATCAAATTAGTAGTATGGCTACGGCTTGTCCCTGTACATCATACTTTTCCTTTAACAATAGAGTTGTGCCAGTCATCTAACATCTTTGGGGAAAAATTTTTTAATTGAAATAACGTGACTTCTAGTTTGCATTGAAAGTTCACATATTGTTAATTGGGGCATCCAGCCTTCAATATTTGGTCTTCTTTCATCTATCTAACTCCGTTCTTGAGATTAAGGAAAGACAGACGGATGGACGAATGACAGTGAGAATTTATAAATCTACAATTTTTTCAAATTGCAGCCCAATAATATATCATACAGTATCTGATCAGCCATGATTTATACATAACATGATATATGCATATTATATCAATATAGACATCATCCTTACTACTGTTATTATAAATTATTAAATAAAATTAATTTGATATTCAAATTTCTAAAAGATAGTAAAATATCTATAGTAATAAAATTCTTCTATTTGTTAATACTATTACTGTATGTTATTAGCTAAATTATACTAAATTTCACTTAAAATAGACTGAACAAGTCAACAATAACTTTTTATATTTAGTTGTGCAAATTTTGAAGGCAAATGCTATGCTAATATGTATCTAGTAAGCTTTCCTACTGCTCTTAGAAATGTAATCAAATGTGTAAAAAGGATAAAATTTAGTGAAATTTTCCAAAAGTTCTATTTATTATATTCATATTAACCCACTGTTACTCGAGGGAAAGCACTGCATTTAAAATGCATACTGCGAGGGAAAGCACCTTACATTTTAAAATGTTTGTAATTTGGGCTTCTTGGAAGTTTTATGGCTAAACTCTCGTCTACCTTTCTTCGTGACCCTTCCACACATCACTGGAATTGGAAATAATAGTCAATTCCTAAGGCTTTCAGTTAGCATGGCACTCACCCACAATTATTTTTTTTTTCCATTTCAAGTGGTATGATTCTAATTGCAATGTAATATTGTATATCCATACTATCAGAAACCATGGTGAAATGTTTCTGAAATGGCTTGATGAGGAGTCTGAGGAAGAAAATGTAGGTCCCTTCCTCTCAAACAATAAGAGAGAGGATCTTCATATGAAAATCCTGGAAGTGTTGAGAAAGAAACCAGATCCTCCACAGGCAACATAAGTATCAAGAGAAAAGTGTGCATACTCCCAAAAAAAAGAATAGAGAAACAGCATCCCAAATTGTAGGTGTAGTATACTGTACCAATTTGCAGATACCACACAATAACAATCTGAAAACAATGCAATTTTAAAAATCCAGACTAAACAGTTATAATTTCTATTCAAGTTCTGAATCTAAGTTTAACAATAATTTCAGATATTGTATTTCTGTTTTTATCGATCTGATCAGATATCAATTTTCTGTTTCTATATCAAAATTACTTTTAATGTATTCTAACTAAAGTAAAATAAACATTAAAATGTGTATTATTCATAACAAAACTTCCTGATCTTAGTAAAATCTCTCAAGACAAATCATTAAAAATATGAAAATATGTAGGGTGAGCATGGTGCTCACTCTTGAGTAACGGCATTACAAATCCAACTGAAGGAACGCCAGGTTAAAATAAATCTAAAATTATTTAAATTTATTTTTTAGATAATAAATATCATATAAAAATTAAATATCCAAAATTTTGATTTGAAATTATTGTGTGTACATATTTATATGTTTATGAAAGCATACATTTTAAAAAAGAAAGAAAAACATGAACTTACAGTTAATGCTTGCATTGCTTCTCTTTCTTGAGGAGATTGAATTTTATGAGCTAAAAATCTTAAAGACATTTGAGGGCCATCCTCATCTAATTCGACTTGCTGACAAAACAAATTGAGCGTAGTTAAATTACATTCTTTATTCAGAGGATTAGTTAATTCAACTGTAAAAAATTGCAGAATATTTATTATAAATGGATAAAAACATGCACAGCATTTACCAGTATATTGTTGANTAGTTAGTAATTAAATTTAGAAAAAAAAAATTAAGAAAATTACTACTAATCAAGAAAATGCAATTTATTCAATGATAATAATAATAAACTACCTTAATAATAAAAATGAATAATAATAAAAATGAAAAGTTGATATTTATTTTAAATATTAGAATAATACTTATGTAAAAGTATTATTCTAATATTTAAAATAAATATCAACTTTTCATTTTTGAATAGAGAGAAGATACAATATTTTGTTCATTATCAACAGACCAAATTTATAATAGAATTGTACAAAGTAGAAATGAATGAGGCTGATATAACTAAGTCAACCAACCACGAAAAATTCAAGGTTTTAATTTGGATTTGAATCTCTCAAGAGTGGAACACATTTGTCACCTCAAACAACTGGATACAGAAAGAATACAATTCATATTCAACAATATTCAATCTACCTATTAAAATTCTTCCAACACTGTATAACTTTATATGTACAGAATTTGATCTGGTGACTTCTAATAAAGTTTTTGTATTTTTTTTCTTTTTTTACACAGTAAAACTTATGTAAATTATGGTTTTCTTAAATAATATTGAACATATCCCATAGAAAAAAAAATATAACTGTTCTTGTCTCTATAGAAAGTTTAATTGAACAAAATTCATACAATTAATTTCAACAGTATATTACTATCAACCTTGAGCAAGAAAATTCCGACAGAATAGTTTTGAATCTTTTAGAGATTTGAAACTGCTTCAAATCTCTAAAAGATGGAATACATGTTAAAAACTTGAAAGGATAATGTACTGTACAGTACATAACATTGGTTTCCCAAAGGTCATAAACAATCTAATATGGATTATATATAAAAGTTACACAAATGACTTATTTATAGATAGTTTTACTAATACTTTATTTTCGAACATTATATGACATGTAAGTTTTAATGTACAACACATTGAAAACAGAAACTAACATTTCTAAAGACAAATAACAGACAATGTAAAATCTGGCCATGATGCATGTGTTGGCAGTCAAATTGTCTCTAGATATAGATTGTACCATATGTACACAATTTCTGAAGATTGGGCATCACTTAGCTTAATTGAACCTTCTTTACTTGTAAGCATGAGTTCAATTTTATAAGCATAGATTGTATGAATGGTTACTTGGACTGCTTTGGTAAAGAATACTTTCTAACCTTTAAATAGGAAAACCCTCTTCAAGGTGCCTTATATAAAATGATGCTATACCAGAATCCAAAAATATTTCATTTAAATTAGAAAAATGTAAATTAAAGATATCAGATTTATTCAAATAGCAACTGCAGCTACTATTTTAAACTGAATATTTTCTGTGATTACTATTTGAGGGTGGTTATTTCTTACTTTGGACATACAGTTGTCCCTCAATAATCTGACAGGTATGGGACCAAAGGTGTGTCGGATTACCAAAAGTGTCCGGATTACCAAAAATAATTACATATTTCGCATTGTTTTGCTAGCAGTAACTTACAATATTCTCTACTCCAACTGTTTGAACAGAACTGCTCACATAAAACACACGAAATGTGTGTCATCGAGTAAGAATTGGATGGGGAGATTCACATCGCGACACGCTTCTGTGCAAGCAGACACGTAACGGGCACGGTGCGTCGGACTACTGAGCATGTCGGATTAAAAAATGTCGGACTATTGAGGGACAACTGTATTCATTTAACGTCTGTTATTAATAAAATATTTAAATATTTATGAGAATTTTGATTTTTAAAACAAATTATTCTTGAAATGGCAAATTAATATCTATCCTTACAATGTTACTTTCTGTATACTTTTAATGAGAAAAGAATTAAAAAGTGGACCTACTGTATATTGTATATTTTACATTTCACTTTCTATTAAAGTTTGTTTGCTAAATAAACACAGTACCTACCTAGTGTAGTTTATGATCTTACGTAAACAGTATAAAATTCATAAAGTTTTTTCAAATCTTTATTTGGAACAATTATTATTCAAATAAAATCGGTACATAAATTATTTAAAATATTTAAAAAATATAACAAGTCATATATCATTAAGTATGTTAATATTTTGTTATTCTTAATTGATATATTTTTAATCTAATTTCACTTAGATTAAAAATAATCATTAACTCTTAAACTTCTTAATAATTTGGAAAAAGTAAAATGATTAAGATAGTATATGTTGCAGCCAGATTGTTAGTTTAGCCACTTTACAGAGAGTCTAGCTGTTTGATTAAATGACATCATTTTATAATAAAGCTAAGCCGGATTGTCATTACATTGCATTTTACAACATGGCTGGCCATATTTTATTATATTGTAAAGTGAATAAATCTCAGTCTCTTTACTAAAATGTAAATTATGCACTAAGGTCAGGGACAAAACTGTTAGGAAAAAAATATATATATATATATTTTTTTTTAAATCAAAATATATATACATACACACTTTAATANTTGTTACTTTTGCCCGAGCAATGCTGGGCTTACCTGCTACTATATATATATCTATTGCTATTAAAAGTGTATATATATATATATATATATATATATACACTTTTAATAGCAATAGATATATATATAGTAGCAGGTAAGCCCAGCATTGCTCGGGCAAAAGTAACAATAACTAAGATTAAGATTATTACATTACAGTCATAGAATGCAAGAATTGGGTCCCCTTGTTTCCAGACTAATTAGAGAATTTTTAGATGGTTCTAAAAATATGTTCGATTTCCCGCAAAAATGAAAAAACTGCATCTGTGTCTTGCACGTCGCTTTCTCTTAACAATTCTATCGTTACATAACACTTCCATTGTTACTTAACACTTCCATTGTTGATTGAAGTGTTAAGCCTTAATCCTGTCCCTCTCCCCCATGGGGAAAAATTTCGAAAAATCCCTTCTTAGTGTGCGTTCTCATAATGTACCCTAACTGTGTACCAAATTTCAACTTTCAACTCCTAACCGTTTGGGCTCGTATCCATAATGTATATAGAAGCCTTAATCCTGTCTCTCTCCCCCGGGGGAAAATTTCGAAAAATCTCTTCTTAGTGTGCGTTTTAGTGATATACCCTAACTGTGTACCAAATTTCAACTTTCAACTCCTAACCATTTAGGCTCTGCACTTATTATTATCATTATCAACCCGTCTCGATTATGTATATAGATATTGCTAATATTGCTGTTAGGTACTGTACCTTATTCTAATTAAGAATTACTTTTATAAAATCACAACATAAATAAACGTAGGTAGTTTGACATACTAAATAGTGCAAAATTAATTATAAAAATGAGAAAGCACTTTAAAATCGTTAAATTTCTTCAATAGTTACTGTCAAGGAAGTGGTGACAAGCTAAATCAAATTTTCAATCGTGGGAACACGTTTTCTGGGAAGGGACAGTTGGCATCATCCTGGACAAGTTGAGGCAGGTATGCCAACCAAGGTGGACCTGATAGAAAGCTCAGCTCCTGATTGGTCGGCCAAAGGATCTAGAACTTAAATATAAGGCAACGCAACTGTTGCGAGAGGTGAGCCTAGCCTAAGAAAAACAGGTCTGGACTAAGACCTTATAATTATAAGTAATCACGATGTATTGCTATGTATCTCTGTAAATAGTGTTAAATAAATAGATTTAATTTGTGTTCAAGGAGTCGTAAGGTATCTTTTTGCAGACCAAAAACATGGAGGTCATGATTTGAACTTTACTGTTACAAACTAATACTTAATACTAAATCTATTAAGTAGTTGTATTGTTTATTAATGCAAAACAAACTGGAATGGCATTTAGATCCACAAAGAACTTTCTTTTGTTGTATTTCAAAAAAGGAAAAATTGCTTTCTGTTTGCAGTTTTATCATTGATAAAGGATATTCTATATAACTATAATATTTGCTTGCTATAATCTCTCTGTGAATAAATTTTTAGAGCCTTGTAAATATTAGAATAGTAAGTCTTAAGTAGGACCCCACGCTTTTTCTATGTTGAGAAACTATATTTCAAATTTTTTTTAAATCTCATTTCTAATTAAGGTCATTTGAAATCACGTATTAGATAGCTCCAAGTAATTGCAGGCCATATGGGAGAAGTGGAATGCCCAAAAAATTTAAAAAACTATAGAAGCAATTAGAAATAAGCCAATGGGATAGATAAAGGCTTCTAAGGAGTTTAGCTTACCTAAAACTACATTGGTAAAGCATGCAAATGAAAATTCAGTGATCCAAAGAAAGCACAAAATTCAACACAGACTTTAAATCCCTCCAGCCTTTTGCTCCCTCAGGACCTTTTACTTGCCATTGTCCAAGATCATACCCTACACCAATAGGTGTTGGAGATGGCCCATCTGATTTGTTACAATTCTATTTTTATGTTCAATGGAACAGTCTGCAAAAAACAGGGGTCCCCATGGATAGCCCAGTATCTGGGGACCTTTGCAAAATGGTTATTAGACACTTAGAACACAAGATCCTTCCACGATACCTCCAAAAGATATATAAGAGGTATATAGATGATATCATTTTGTGGAAGACTGTTCCAGACGTGATGGCATTCATACAAACTGTTAATGACAATCCTTATGGCTTAACCATAGAGGTTGAATAATCTAACACCACAGAGGTCCACTTCCTGCACATAAACATTAAAGTCAAAAGGCCACAAACCTTGTGCAGCCTCTATGTACATCCCTATAGGTTCATGCAACCCGTTCCCCTACAAGACAGTGTACATGAACACCGAGCAGACCTTCAGCATGGGCGACACAACATGGTCCTTGCTATTTATGCCTCTGACCCTGATATTGAAACTACATTTAACCAAGGCAAAGTCATCCTAACTACACCTCACCCTGAACACATAAGATGGTTAGAGGCCATATATATTTATAGAGCAAGCCACTTGCATCAACCAAAACAATGAGCTGAATTTATCGGTTGCCTGGTAGGCCCTTATGGATGCCAACCTTTAATGGCCATTATCTACGCACAAAATGCACATGCCCTTCATAATGACTTTCATCAGGCATATGTTTGATTAAATTTGAATATTCACGTTCTAATTTTGTGTTCCATTAGTTATTTGGTATATTTCACCTGAAGAACTATTCAACAGTTCGAAAATGTTAGTGATAAACTTTATTATTCACAGAACACACCGGTAACAGGTTCCAGACAAGATGTTGAGTTACATCCCCAGTGATGATGTGTTATTGATGTTGATGAAGCACAAAATGGGATGGCCTTTCATTTTACATTCATTCTTATTAGAGATCCAACTTAGGCAACATTTACTCCAGAAATTGGATTTTTCACTTTTTCTAAAGAGCCTTAATTTGAAAATCTGATCTGTTGTAAGTTAGAGTTTTTCAAAGTGTTTTCTAATACTCAGTTATGCTGAGTATTAGAAAACACTTTGAAAAACTCCTTTTGTTAAAATACAAATAAAATTAATTTGACATAAAACACACAGGTAAAAAAGAAATTAGGGTTCTGCCACTTTCCTATACTATCAGGAAATCAGAACTTTGCAAACCAGTTTTAGAACACCAAATAAGGTTCAATAAGGTGATCTGTCAGTGATTCAATAATAAGATGCATTTTTCTGATATTGCACAAAATAGCACCCAATTGATCAGTTTGTCAAATTATTGTTGCATATCCAAGATCTATGCATATTTTTGACCTTTTAGTCCTGCTGAAGGTCAATATAGAATACAGTAACTAAGATACTGCATTCTATATTGTCTTGTGTTTGTGGATGTCAAGGACCGCCACACACAATTTTACATTCTGGCCATATACAGTCGATTCTGTTTAATTGGGCCACCGACTAATCAGGGCAGCCACTTTATTGGGCCAAACTCAAAGAATGGAAACTAATAAATTAAAACATAATTTAATTGGGACAACATTTCGCTTAATTGGACAGTAGCAGAAAAGGAATTTAGCAATTTTTGATATATTTTAGTAATCTTCCAATAATATGTAGGCAACCTATCAACATCAAACCTTTGTCTGGGCAGTGATCTTTTGGTACTGCAAAGTTTAAGCTTGAATTTGGCAAGTAGTAATAGACACCACAGTCTGCACCAGGCAAAGTTTTAACTGAATGTATTAAGTTGGCCCATTTTCTATCACACAAGATGTAGTCAATTGGATTTTGGTGTAATCCATTTGGAAAAGTCCTTGTGTAAAGCCATTGTTTAAATTGGCAAAACTATGTGTTCATGATTTTGAAGTGATGTTCCAGGCAGAATTGAATGAGACAATCCCCAGAGACATTTCTTTTTCCCAAGCCGAACTGTCCACAGACTCCTGGTTTCGTTTGTCCCCCACTTTTTCATTAAAGTCACAGGTGATGACAATGATGTCTTTTCTTAATGTTTCATTTAGTGTCTTTTGAATTTGTGAATAGAAATCATCCAACTCCTCTAGGGAGGAATAAGCAGTGGGGGCATATACTTGCATTATCATATGACAAAGTTTCCCATTAATACTGGTTCATGGTCATACTGAATTTCTAATATTTAAAAATAGAATTAAATACACAATTAATTCTATTTATTTCTCTTAAACTCAGGAGCTTTTTTTTTTATTCTCTTCATTTACAAAGTATATTATGGGTTTGGTCAGGTCCACAATGAACAGGCTGGATAGTGAGGGATGGGTTCTGACATATCTAGAACAAAACACCCCCCAAAAAATTCTTGGGGATTCTCAACCCATTCAGATTTGTTCCCATTTCCCTTCCCCCCAGAGTGGTAGGCCAACACCTTAATGGTTTGTCCAACTAGTTAAAAACTTAAGGAGTACAAGAAAGGTGAAGTTTGCTTATAGAGTAATCTACCATTATATTTACCACATATAATAAAATAATATTATCAAAAACAGAAAGTTTGGTTATTTTAATAATCAAATGATAGTTGTATTAACTATCAAGCTAGAACATGGCTAATTAATTGTATAGATCAGCGATTCCCAACCTGTGGTACGCGTACCCCTAGGGGTACGCGATAGGTTGTTTAGGGGTACATTGTGAGGGGGTGGTGANAATCAATAAAATCTTAATTATATTTATTTTATAATTATTTCATAATCACCATCATTCTAACACTTTCTCATTTAGATTAGATTTGTTAATAACTTGTGCCTATTTAATAATTAACTTTAGCATATAATTTTTTAAACTAATAATTCTTAAATAATACATAAAACTTTACATCATAAAAAATTAAAATAAATTTTAAAATAAATTTATTTTAATTTTTTATATTACTTATCACAATTCTTTTTTTATTTTAAAATAAATTTTAAAATAAAAAAAAAATTGTGATAAGTAATATAATTAAATTCCACCTGTATATTACATTTTTAAACAACATTTTTAAGTACTGACTCATTTAATGCTGGCAAAAAAATAATTTCAATTTTTTTCATTCTTTCTACCAATGACTCCTATATTCATTTTTCAACTCTAATTGTTATATTTATACATTCAAATTTCTAAATATGTATACTTAGCAGCATATATCAGATCCATATATAAACAAACAAACAAACAAAAATTCATAAAAGAATTGAATGATATCAAAGTTAATCATACTTTCAAATACTAATTTGAATAACCGGGTTAGTGCTAAAAGTATTATTTAATAAATGTGAACTCTGATAAAAAATATCATTTGATCATTTCATATTTTTAAAAATGAATTGGTTGATATTATCTCTGAAGTCATTTTTGTCAAACGACAGTTGGAATCTTGTATTTAGAATTTAAAAATGTAAAGACATTTTAAAACTGATAATTATTTCCACCATTTAATAGTTCTTAAACAAATTAAATGACTGGAGACAATTTAATATTTGTTTTTTTATATCATTTCCTGTTAATCGCTATCAATGCATATCATTTACCATCAGCAAAAGATTACAATACTGTTACTAGGAAAATTAAGTGAAATTTAAATAGGTTACATTTCAATACCATTTATATCTTCCATGATTAAATTTTTCATATCATTAATTAACGAAACAATAATTTACATCACATCAGCACATCACACAAATAAGAGAGTCGCCAAAGTTTTCAATTTTCCTACTCCCGAATCGAAACCTATTCACATATTTACTCGACGAGAATATCAACTTTTCTGCTAAATAATACATTAAAACGGAATAAACAACGGGCAAAGTTTCAATATTGCCAAGATTAAAAAATGCCAAATCTCCCGTAATTTTTTACTCCCAGAAAGGTAAACTCCCAGAATCAATTCATCGGTAGTTGGCAAGAATAACTGGAGATATACCGGGAAGGACGAACAATAAATGAAAAATGCAGTCAGAGTTTAGAATCATTCCTTGATATTTTCATGTAAAAAGGAATGGATGGGTTGGATTTTAATACAACAAACCTCCAACATACTACATACAAAATTAGTTGAGAAAGGTAATAAATTATTAAACTTTCATTCAAGACATTACAAAGATACAGATCAAGTAGAACTCTACAAGTTGACTTCTCAAAATTAATTAAAACAAATGTTTAAATGGTAATTTGACTTCAAATAAGGCTGAAAGTACAGTACTTGTGACTCTCTGGCTGTAACAAGAATATAACATTTGGCACTTTAAACATAATTAACATCAGTAATAGTAAAAATTGATAATTACTAACCTAACATTAATTCTAAATTATCGTTTGACATCCTAGATTACTTGATTAACTTTACAGTATTTTAAAAAAAATGGATCTAATTTATCAACATAAAAATAATTTGTTTAAAATTCTCCATATACTCAGCTCCATCATGTAAAAAAACAGCTGTCTGCGCAAGCGCAAATCGCTTGTGAAAATGGTGTAGCAGAACACCATTTTACTTCTGACATTAATTAGTACAATAAAAAAGCTTAAAATTCAATCGAAACCACCATGGTGTGCTCGCCTCTTTTTTTGGCCTCAGTGATGGTGTTAACTATGTCGTCCAGTGCTGTGATCGTACTTCTTCCTCTCCTGAAGCCATATTGCTTCTCGCTTAGATAGTTGGAGTTTTCGCAGTGGTAAGTAAGCCTGTTAGCCATGAGCCCATCCAGGATTTTCCCAATGACAGGGAGGAGGGAAATCGGCCTATAGTCCGTTGAGCCTGAAGGATTGCTGTTCTTTGGGATTAACTNAAAAGAAAAACTCCTCCAGAGCAGTAGGCTAATGCCGTAATCACTTCACCCATCCGACAGTCTATCAAAATGCTTTTAAAGTTGCTAAAGTTGTTACCTGACCAAGCAAAATCTTCAAATACTATACGTTTTGCTGTACATTTTTCAATGCTGTGCGAAAGAAAAAAACGTTGCTATAATGTTTGATGTTACATATTAGACCAGTTTTATTACCTTGCTCATACTGTCTAAAAGTGCTTCTAATAAAATCAAATTAAAACGTTATCATCGTTACTTATATAGTCTACATGTTTAAATATTTTATTATTTATTTATTTTTATTAAGATTCATTACTTTAAATTTACTAAGAAAAAGCACTCATGATGATAAGAATTAGCAGCTTTTATTTCATAAAGATCTTTCTAATTTAGTTATTCGTATCGAAAGACAAATGTATTGAATCAATATCTTAAAATATTTATATTCGGAATTTATCTACTATAATTATGATGATTTAAGTAAAAAATCTTAAGACAATTTAAACTTTTAAAATATGATTATTTAAAAATTTGGATGAGCGAAAGACTGTAGAAAATTGACGTAGGGAATGGAACCGCTTAAAACAGGATCGAAATGTTTACAGATGATAAAGAAATCTTCGTCACTGAGACAGATGGCAAAATCATTCAAAATCTTCTTGAATTTTGTAGCATCGATTAATCCTGCTTTTTGTGGGTCGTTTGCTAGAAACTGTTGTCGTAAAGCTCCGAAGTAGAATAAAATTTGAGATCTCATTCGCAGTAATATTCTATACACATGGTCACAGTTTGGTTTAGTAATAGCATTATCAGGTTTATCCAAGCTGCATTTACGAAGAAACATCCAATAATTAACTTTCTTTCCTGGTATAATGCTATATATTTCTTGAAGTATTCTGCTAAGATTTCGATTTGTAACAGGAATACCACAGTTTGCCAATATTGTCATAAATTTTTCACAGGAAATATTTCCACTCTCTTTAACATCCATCGTGCGACATTTATAGATAATCTTGCGCCACGAACAATCTATCAATTTCTTTAGCAAAAGATCGTAGTTTGGAGGAGCTGGGAGAGTAGACCATGCTGCTTCTTCAGGTATGGTGAGATAATCAGGTTTTTCTTTACGGTATATTTGCATTTCTACTTGATCGGATTTGTTCGAATTGTAACATTCGTACTGAGAACGGTGGTATGAATTATTACTAATATTTTTAATAAATTGCCAGTAGTTCATGAGTGTTCCAGGAACCATATTGTATTGTCGTTCTAAAAAGTTATTCATAAATTCACTGTAGACTGGAATTCCGCACTGATTTAGCACTTCCTTCATAGATTCTGATGCAATGCGACCCGATTGCCGTGGATCTGCTTCTTTACATTTCCGAATTATATCATGCCAATTTTTTTCAATGCAGTTTCTCAATATTATCTTGATATCATTAAATTGCTTTCCTTCAATTTCGCAATGGCATTCAGATGCATTTCTCAATTTTTGAATTGAAGGTTCGTATTTTGACTTAGAAGATGAACAGACCAATGTTCGTGAAATTGTTTTTATTCTGTAATTACTCATTGAATCGTTGGGTTTACAATCTCCAAAGTCTTCTAGAAATCGTATGTAATTCAATGCACCATTCTCAACGGGAAATATTTTCCACAGCCGTTCGAACTGCTTATCGGAAAGTGGCATACAATGTTTCTGAAGCAAATATTTGACATGCTGTTTCGAAACCATACCAGTATTTTCGAAATCATAAAAAGTAAAAGCTTTCAATAACTTCTCTGTTTGAGTTTTGATGCTATATCTTATTTTTTCATCAAGTTTCAACAGAGTGAGAGGTTCATGTCTTTGTAAGCTACTCGTACTAACTTTTTTAATCGAGTTTTCCAAGTCGCAAACAGATTCAGGTTTAAACAGATTTAAAAAGTCTTCTAGTTTAATTAAATTCGTATGAAGTGGATCTAAGATGAGTAATAATTCTTTATAATCTTTGGCTGATAGTTTAGCAGGATAAGGCATCGAAAAATTCACTACTCTTTTCATTTCTTCTCTAGTAATCATCTTATCTCCGTTTCTGTTTACGGTGTATGCTACCTTAAGTGAATTATGAGGATTTATGGCCCGAACTCTCAACCTCTTTACTGCTGTTTCTCCAGTCTCGTTTGTTTGTTTCTGATGGGATCTCTGTAAACTTTCTTCGTAATCTATATCCGGCCATACAAGGCAAGCAGGCACACTTTCCCATCTTGGATTCTGAAATTTCGCCATATTTTAGATTCAGAGTATGCCAATAATTCAAAATAGTAAAACGGATATTTTGTTATCAGTAAAAACCTTCAAATTTCACAACTACAGAATATTAATAGTGGACCCTTAGCATAAAAAAAGCTTTTACTTTTGTTTTACAATGATGATAATAAGAGTTGTAATATTGTTTCATTTATTATTACGCGATGCATTTGAAGAGTCACGTTTATATCAAATTTTGCTAAAACAGTTCAATTTATAATAATTTTTCGACATAAAAAATTGTTTATATACTGATATTATTTAGATTTATATAAGCTTATCTCCAAGTATAACTGCATCATCAATTTCGACATCATTCTGTTTTTCAGAATGGTAAAGAATAGAAATTTCAAATAACTCAAGTTTTTAATATACTGTATACAAACTACAATATGTTTACCAAAATATGCTTATTATGCTCTCTGTCTTTACAAGTTAGTATAGATCCACAGAAGAATATTGCAGCTAACATCAATGAATAATTAAAATTAATTTTGCTTTAAACGTTTTGATTCGCTAGAAAAGTGTGAAAGAATATCTCAAAACTTACAGCAAATTTTTAAATATTCATGTCAAGATTATTAAAATTTATATATTAATAAATTTTGAAATTAAGTTTAGCCAGGTGTATACATTTATAATATACATTTTTAATGTTTAATTAATTTCGTGAATTAAAATAAATTTGAAAAATATTCAGTTTTCAAAAAACTTTATACAAAAAATTTCGTAAAGTTGACTATGGTTAAGTAAGAAAAAAATTAAACGCTTAAGAGAAATATCACAACGCCATTCCTTCGCGTGTATTAGAAGCAACCAAGTACTAAACGAAGGAGGAGAAAAAAAGCGCAACCAAAAGTCAGAATCGCGACGAGGATAGGATTGGAACTGATATGGTATAACACAGTGTTTCTCAACGGGGGCGATATCGCCCTCATGTGGGCGTTTTTCCATGTTGAGGGGGCGATTAGTAACAATTTATGTTTTGGGGACGAAAAACGATTTTCTGGGCGATATAGTAAAACATTATATTAAGAATAATTAGATATTTATTAGTTATATCGTACAATAGTCTATTCAATGCAGTATGAATTTGGCGTTAGACTTGGCCCTCGGCATCGGAATTTTGGAGTGAAGGGGGCGATACTACGTAACGGTTTTATTGAAGGGGGCGATACTACGTAACAGTTTTATTGAAGGGGGCGACGATTCGTTAGAGGTTGAGAAACGCTGGTATAACAGAACGGATTAACCACGTTGTCATTAGGCAAATCCGTATCTTTCGATTCGTGCATTTTCTTTAACGTATCCACAACGGTTGGCACCAACCACTGCATTGAGAATATTTGCTGTTGCAAATAGCATGGCTAGTGATCGGGTTGTTGGCGCTTGCAAAGGGTTCATTTCGACTTGGGACGGTCAACCTCATTGGCTAATTCTAGCATTTCTCTGCGAGCCTGCTGAAATCGCAGATTATTTCTGCAACTGCAGGAAGACGACTTTGCCGAAGCAAAACACTTGAGCTAAATTTGCAGATTTTAAATTCAATCCGTCGATAGTTCACCTGGTAGAGCGGTCGACTGTTGTAGCCATAGATATCCATGGGTCGTCGGTGGTTTAAATCCTCCTCGACGGAGGAAGTCGGTTTTTTCCTCTTATTTGTACGTCTGGCTGCAAAAATTACACGGCTAATTTCGAAGTGCAAATTCAACATGTTTCGAAGAGATACGGACGGGAAATGTTTGTCCCGAGTGCAAATATAATTGTATGGCAATGCAGAATTTCCTAAACTATACGTGCTTCAAATCCGTATTCTCAACCAAACTATGCATTTGTATACGAAATGTATAGTTAAATAGGCGAGTAAAGTGAATTGTTTTAATCTTGATTTTTTTATTGCGGATAATTAAGAAAGACGTGATAAAGATCACTAATCTCACTATTGGAAAAAATCCAGCAACGAGTTGCATAACTTTCCTGGGATTTAAAACTACGTGTGCGGCGCCATCTGTTATATTTTATTATTAAAAACTTTCTATATTTTTTAAACTATTATAAAATGGCAAAAGACTGTTTTGAGGGTTTTATAAAAACAAATTGTATCTCCAGTAGGGTCGCACTTAAATGTACTGTACACCGCTGATCTTTTAATCACCAAAATTTATTCTACCATATTTTGAAACCGTGTCGTTCTTTTCATTTGTTCTATAAGCGCAAGGTAGCGTAATAACGATCACTTGGCACTATTCACTTCTTTATTTCACTTTTCGTTGAAAAGTGAATAGTGCCAAGTAATCTTTATATGATGACTTCATTTCACTTTTCAACGTTGAAAAGTGAAATAAAGAAGTGAATAGTGCCAAGTGATCGTTATTACGTTACATTGCGCTTATAGATAACACCAAAATTTAATAATAGAATCAATCCACATAATTAGCAAACCTCCCTGCAAAATTTCAGAAATTTTCGACAAAAAGCATAGGAGTTATTAAGGGAGGTCAATCGTAATAAGTTACATGCGTTTTTATATCGAACCAAGAACCGGAGTAGTGTCTGATAAATACAGCCGGATGGCCGAGCAGTCAAGGTGGCAGCATACCTCTCTGGGGGACCCGGGATCGAATCCAAACTGAACGAAAAATCCCCAGGAAATTTTCGGGGGATATTCAATCCGGATATGTCGGACCCCGTTCCTCACCACCCGACCGACACATTGTGGGTCTGGCCAAACCCATAATGGAATTGCAAAAAGAAGTCTTCTAGTGCCCACAAGGCGAAAAGAGTTTAAAAAAAAAAAAATGTATCTGATAAAAGAGGTTCCACTTTATATATAATTATAATTACTTACACACAAACACACACTCAAACTTTTATATAATTTTTATTTATTAATTTTATAAAATATTTTTAGTTTTCATATTATTCGAAATAATAAAATTTATAAAAACTGAGAAATTAAAATATTTGAAAAAGGAATGTTTTTGACGATTGATGTAGGGACGCTACGGGAGAATTCGGGAAGAGAGAACAGACGAGATTTTCTTAATCTCGTACTAAACTGTTTTTTCCATAACTTTAGTCGTTGGTAGGCTTTTCTTATTTTAAAATATTTAGAATTTTTCTCATAAACAAATATTTCGAGTGAAATAATCACGTAATTATTTATTATACATTTACAGATTTCGGGATAGATTATTTAATACTGCAAAGTCTTTAAAAATTTTACTTTAAACATGGGAGAAGAAAGAGATAATGACAAAGGTAAGCCTAATTATAAAATGTATTGATCGCCGTTTAAATATGTAATAATTCACTCCCAATGATTTCTCTTTATATTAAAAAATGTGCATTTATAAAATGGCAGGCCAATTTGAAAAGAATGAAACTTCACAAAAATAATCTAATTAACTTGTATTTTGTTTATTAAGCTATAAATATTTGTTGTACATTGCATAATATGTTTTTTTTAGAGTTAAATGATAAAATATTAGCCAATAATTATGAAATTACAGTTTTTGTTAAAGTTGTGTGTGTACAAATGCACTTGTTAATAATGATTTCTGTTTTGTGTGGTGAAAATTGTGCACATTACAAATTTATTGAATGACGGATTGCGTTAACATTAATGTAAAATGGCAATGTAGACTGGTCGGCTGTGTTGACGTGTGGACCGTCTTGGCCTCGTCTCTTTCTCGTTACTAGTGTTTTTTCCCACGTGTGTCTTTATGATGCCTCCTCGAAAGTGCTTAATTTGAGACGCCTTATACCAAGATCGATCGTGGTGGATGAGAGATGGGAATGATGCATCGAACCATTCTGTTTGTAAGAAATTTTGACTGTCTTAATTAGTTTCAAATTTGGTTCTCGTATGGTTTGGGCCGAGCTCAGAGTTCTTCTATCTGGCTGATGTCGGTTAATTAATAAATTGCTAATTCTTTGTTTATGCGTCGATGAATTGGTTAATTATTCCTGTTCGGTGCAAGTGCATGTTAGGCTAAAGCTGTAATTATTACTAAATTTTACAAACTATAGAGTTTATTAATAATTGGTAATTTAATCCAACGATCAATCTAGATTTATTATTCAGCTCAAATTATTTGATCGGTAATATGATTTGGGCATGTTTCCTTATACAGTTATTTAATCCTTTGGGCTTATTGGGTAGCTGAGCCCAATGCTAAATTTGGCTTGGTTATTGGATTAAATAAATGATGTTTAATGCAATAATCCAACTAAAATATTTTTATGTGATGTTTGAATTTCATTTTGGAAATAAGTAAATTAATAAAAAAAAGATGACCTGAATTTTATTGGTTAATGAAATTAATCGTACAAAATAATTGTTTTAAAAAATAAATTGCTGGCTATTGGTAAGAAAACCAATAGCATTCAGAGAGCCTTCCTAGCAGTGTCTATTCAATAGTTATATCTGGCATTAGCCATGGATTGTCAGATTTAACTGCAGTATGAGAGAAGTAACTGTAAAGCATCTATTGCTCTTAATAAAGCTGGTCAAAGACTGTTGGCCTTGAACAATGATAATCTTTGAATGTTCACAATACAATTGCTTAGTGGAAACTTCTATGTGGCTTTGCCATTATTTGAAGACCGTCATCACTGTATTAGAGCACAGTGGGTGGAACAATCAACAAAGTCATTGGTTATAGGAATGCTTATATCCTTCTATCTGGCTCTTATAATCATCTTCAGAATTCCTCAGGTCCTTGCCTTTATTCATGTTTTGTGTAAAAATAGATGCAATACTCCTGCAGTTATCTACTTATAACCAATACCTGTTAATCATGTGGCTACTTCTCCCAAAAAGTGCAATTTATTTCATTTGCATAGGTGGTCATAATAAATTGATACAACAACTATATATTGGAAATAAATCTATCCTATTGCAGAAAGATAAGCAAAAGTAAGCTTTTTATGTCAGCATAGTTTTGCATCTACTTCTTAATTCTTAAAGCCCTTGAATGTTTCCTGTCTTTTGACCTAGGACAGCGGTTGGCAGTTTGTCAAGTGAAAAGAGCCAAATTGTCATTGAAACAGTATAACAAAAGTACCAGAGAGCTGCGTATATAACGCGCACCAGAGAGATGCCCCCTAGTGCACGTTACAGGCATTCCGTGACAATAATAAATTCCTATTACAAATATACTAAATTATTTATATTGTTATTGGCTATTGGCCAAATTAATAATAATAATAATAATAATTTATATTGTTAATTTAAATGTGCGAAATATGACACACGACGAGCGCCTCTAGTGGCCTCTAGTGAACGTTACACGGACGGACACGCGTTCGATGGGTTATGTATATAATGTACAATATAGATATGCTTTAAATGCTGCCACTCGCATGTGACTCATATTTTAATCAATGCGAGTGTGGTCGTGTGGATAGGCTAAAGAGTGCTAGAGAGTATGCCATACGAGTCGAAGTTTGTTGGGCGGCTCTATCTCATAAATTCATTAGTTATAAGACTGCGGTGAAATGAGGTGAGGTGAAATTGGAGTTTATGTTCGAAGAGCCGCAAACGTCTATGCAAAGAGCCGCATGCGGCTCGCGAGCGCTAATTCCGACCCCTGACCTAGGACAAAGCATACCTAGGCCAAGTTTACATCTCCTCCCTGGTAGGGTGGCAGTTTTTGGTGTTTTTGCTAGACTTCCTCACCAGTGATTTTTCTATTTTCAAGAGAAATAACCTTCTACTAAACTAAACCCTTTTTTTCATTCCAATTTGGGTTCATGCATATCCATGTTATCATGTATATCACTATTTAGAGTAGTGATGTTGAGAATGTTGGAAAAGACAACCAGTTTTTGTGATTTCCTATTTTTTCCAGTAGAAGATGCAATTATATGTCCTATCAGAGATGTTCATTTTGGTCATATTTGTTTGGTACTTTGTTTGAGAAAGTAGATGATAGATATGAAAGTGACCAAGAAGAAGTCTTTCACAATAATTATGAAGACCACTCAGATGATGATGATGATGGTGAGATTGCTATAATAGAAGTGGATGAGCAGTGTAATTCCAGCAGTTTGTCAAATGATGATTCATCTGGGGACAATCAGAAAATTTTAGAAACAAATAAAAAAATAATCAGTAATGAATGTATAACGATTCCATACAAAAGTCACTATTTTTAATGCAAGAAAGAAACACTGAGACTTATCAAAATGAAAAAAATTAACCTTGACAGTTGACCCCATGGTAACAGATGTGATTTTTAATGTAACTTGCAAAATAAAGTCTCTGGTGTAAAGCCTTTTTAGACAATCTTAATTAAGAAAAAATATTAAGACATGAAAGAAAAAATTACACGATTTGGAACTGGTCACTATTTTAACTAAAAGTCAATTTGCAAAATGTCATTAAGAGTCCCTTTTGGAAAGATGTTACCATATTCTGTTTTAATGTCTCTTCAACTTTTTGAGAAACTGAAAAATGAAGTGCACATTAGATTTTAAGTATAAATGAGGAGCTCTGAAGTGAAACATGTTAAGTGACATTAGTATCATTTTCAGTATTATAGTATGTTAAATCTGTTAGCTGTAATTTAAACAGATTTCACTGTGGTTAATTGATTTTATTTCATTTGAGTGTCACCTGTCTATTGAACTTTTGTTGATTTTAAAATTAATAAAAGTTGGCTTCCTGAAATTAGTAGTCATTTATTCACTTTTGCAAGATGATATCAAGTTTTGTAAACTTTAATGTTTTATTCTGTATTTTGTTTCCAGATTAAGATCAAAAGGAAATATTTTTTTCATTATTATTCAAAAAGTTAATAAATGTTTCCATTCATATGAAACAAGTAGTGTATTTCTTGTATTTAATAAATATATTTAGACTGTCTGTTTTCCGCATCTGGATTAATAATAGTAATTCAATTGTTGTTTTCATCTTTTTTATAATTTTACACTTCGATATTCACATACATTCAATTATGCTGAGTGTTAGCTCTTGAATTGATGTGCAATTATCTGTGTGTAATGGGTGAAAGAATTCATATTTTAACTGATATAATTTAAAATAACTGTTCTATTCATTACTGCAAATTATGCCATCATTTAATTTTGTAACCCAAATGATCGCCTTAAATAATTGGGCTATAAATCCACTATTTAATGATTAAATAATAATTAATTTGTTACTAGAGGTAAACATTAAGCACCATCTCTTATCTAAATTAATAATTATAATTTTAATAATTTTTAAAATAATTTTAGGATCATCCAGAAGAAAAGAACTGGCTTAGGACATCTTGAACCCGCAACTTCTGCTTGCCATGCAGTTGCTTGGGGTCCGAGTGGCACAACTGGCAAATACATTGCACGGCAAGTGTAGCTTGCAGGTTTAAGCCCCACCCGAGCTAGTTCTTTTTTTCCAGAGTTAGTATTTAATCATTAAATAGTGGGTTTATAGCTCAATTATTTAAGACAATCATTTTGTTATGTATTTATATTGTGTTTTGGGATGTTTGATATATTCATTTAATTTCATTGTTAATAATGCTTTTTAAAATCTTTTTATCTCATCTATTCATAACAAAGCATTGTTCATGATATACAGTATAGCTTTTTAGTCATTCTGTGGAAGTTCTAATTGTAATTCAAAAATTATGAATTTATTGAAAAGTAAACTTTACCATCTAATCAATTCAAATTGTGTTGAAATAAGTAAAATATGGATGCTAAATGGCTATGTTATCAGAAATTTTTTCTTTGTCATTATCACATAGATAATTTTCTTACATTTTTTACTTCATTACGTTTATCTTTGAGTTGACATGATAGATAGTTTATCCTTTTCTAAAAATAAAACATTTTTGTTTTCAAATAAGAATTTTATTCATAAAAATGATTATATTATAATAATGGAGAAATAGTTTTTTAAAATATGTTAAATTGATCATCAATGAAACCAAAAATATTCTAGAAGGGACTTTAGAAGTTGAATATTCAGCAAAAAAAAACAAAATAAATGAATGAATTAAAAATATCAAAAATTTAACAGTAATAGAAACTATAAATAATTCATAACAAAATAGGTATAGAAAGAAAAAATTGCATGAAAAATAACACTAAACATACTTAAACAAAATAACTTCACTGTATTATGTCATATCCAGTGTCTAAATTTGTCTTTTGAGTTTCTTATTTAACAACATATTTGAACTTGTCATAATAACTATTTACATGTAACAATTTTTTGTCACATGATGAATAATAACTAATTTTTACATTTTCTCAAATCTAGCTTTAGACTAGATTTGAGAAAATGTAAAAATTAGTCTATTTGGATTCATAAGCATTAAACATGTGTATCTAAAAATAAAGATATGTTTATACAAACATGTTTCCAAAAAATTAACAAAAGTTTATGGATGTTGTGTTTATGGGTTCATAAATTATATACAGAAGAATCTTGTTTTAACAGATTGCTCAGGCAGCCGAAAATTATCCATTGTTCTGACAATCCATTATATCACAAACAACAGATTTTCTACACACCCGAGAAAATATTTGTTGTTCAAAAAAATTTCATTTTTTAACTTCTATAAGAAATACCAGTACTTGAAATTATTCAGTCTCTTGAGATCTCTATTCTTTATAATATAGAAACATGTATGTTTGTAACATACATGTTTCTATATTATAAAGAATAGAGATCTCAAGAGACTGAATAATTTCAAGTACTGGTATGTATGTTTGTAACATACGTGTGTACAACAAAGCTGACGAAAACTATACATATTATAAGCATAAAAAGATGCAAATTACATATCCTCATTAGCACTTTGCTT